AGTCAGGCACATGAAGCATTTTCAAGGCACCTCTGGTTTCCCTGAGCATCTAATCGGCATGGCCCTTTTAAATGAAAGAGGGATACTCTGTCGCATCAATCAAAAAAAAGTGCTACAAAATCTACATCGACCAGCATTGGCAGACACCCCTCGGCCTGTAAAGTTGACACGTGAATCTGAACAATTGAAATTGGAGGATCTGGTGACAGGAAAGACGACATCTATCTTTGATGTCCTCATGGAAGAAGGGAAAGAAAAGTAACAGACATTCCTTAAGAAACCACTAGAAAAATGGACATCTGATCCAGTCTTAACGAAGTATTATGAACTGGCTGAACACATGACAATTGAAAATGATGTAGCTGAAAGGGGAATCAGTCTTATGGAGAAATACAATAACACACTGAAAAAAACGAGAAACAAAAACAGTTTATTTTTCAATCAGTTGCGAACCAGCGCAAAAAATTCTTAACTCCATCAAAGGCATCATTATGTCGTAGATTATTCAGTGTGGAACTATAGTACAGTTTATCTATAAACTGTCAAATTTTCAAACTAAGTTCTTGATTAGATTATAATTTTTAGTTACATTTTAAATTAAAACTTTAATTTAAGTTTTTAATTTTAACTTAATTTTTAATTTTAATCTTAAGTTTTAAATTGAAAATTGACATTCGACAAATCAATCAATTCATATATTCTGAAATCAAATCATATATTCTGAAATAGTTGTCACATTCACGGAAGTTTACAAATAGTTCATGTACACTAATCTTAAGTAACACTAATCTTAAGTAAAAACCTTGCAAATAAAAGCTAATAAATGTATTTTTAATGCTAATAGTAATATTAGTCATCCACAGCAGAAACAAAACGAACATTAAAAGTTGAATGAGTAAAAATACTAATAATGATAATAATAAAAATTGTAGTTGTAACAATAATAACAATACAATGATAAAAGTAAAATGATAGTAATAAAAATAAAATGACAGAAATAAAAATAATTACAATTATCATAAAAAAAATAAAAGTAATTTAGTATTAGTTACACACATACACACATATGCAGACACATACAAATACACACATACAAACACACATACACACTTACGTTCACAAATACATATAAACACATATACTTATATCCCCCTGTATTCAATACAGGTATATATACATTAATTTTATACAAACATAATATACACCCATATATGTAGATTCATATATACTATACACAAATATACCTATACACACACACGTACATATACATACACACATATACATAAACACATACATACATACACATATACAAACATAAATACATATACACACATTTAATAATATTATATATGTGTATTATATATGTATATATTATATACACTTACACATATATTCACATACAAATATACATATATACAAACATACACATACAGACATATACATCCATGCATTCATATACACATACATAAATATACACTGAGACTTATTCACATGCGCTTATCACAAACACTTATACACAGATACATATCTTTGGATTTATTAATTGTATTTGATTAGGAAGGAATGGAATAGGTTACTTTTAAAAACATAGATTGAATGGAGAGCTTTTAGGTTATAGGGAAGGTTATTCCAATATACTTTGGTTTTTTATGGACTTATATCCATAAATAACAGAGCGATGTTTTAAGACTGCAAGATTTAGGTTATCAATTGGTCGAAGATAGTAACGGTTAATTGCATTTTTTGGGAAGAAATTGTTAAAGGTGAGAGGTAGGTTTTTGTATTAGTGATTCCAGACCAACTGGCAATTCAAGAATTAGCAAAATTGACAAAAACTACTTTATTTGAGATAAAACGATCAAATGGGTTGACCCCAAAATATTACTTGTTTTTATTGAAATTTTTCACAATTGTTATAATTATAACAAAGAACAAAAAAAACCTTGTGGACAACTGAATTCTGTTACTTTGTTTTTGTGGACTACCCTAATATATATATATATATATATATATATATATATATATATATATATATATATATATATATATATATATATATATATATATATATATATATATATATATATATATATATATATATATATATATATATACATATATATATATATATACATATATATATATATATAATATATATATATATATATATACAAATAATGTATATATATGCAAAAAAAATATATATATATATATATATATTTGTTTAATGAGTGTATATATATATATATATATATATATATATATATATATACACAAATAATGTATATATATGCAATATATATATATATATATATGCAAAAAAATATATATATATTTGTTTAATGAGTGTATATATATATATATACATATATATATATATATATATATATATATATATATATATATATATATATATATATATATATATATATACGAAAAAAACGCTTTAATAACTCTTGTTTTACTGCGTTAATAAGTTCAAAAAGTTCAGAGATCAGGAGGTAATCCACTGGTATTTAGGGTGGTAGCCCTCCTATCAAAGACCAACTCATCATTGTTAGAGATATAAATACAAAGAAAAACTAACATGGAAATGGATTTTTTAAAGCAGGAAAATTGTCCAAGTTTAGGACCAGGAAATTATACGGGCTCTAAAGTCTTACATGATTGGTGTGGTAAAATTTTGAAAGTTTTGTTATTTCTTAATACCAAAATACAGACAAATGAATTAGAGTATTTGAGACATCTTGAGATAGAGTTAGAAAAAAATAAAGCACTTGAGAAAAAAATATTAAAAATGGAAAATGACTGTCTGCAGAAAGGGTTAGAAACACGTATTGTGGTACTAGAGGATGAAAAGACTCTCGAAAATCTCGCACTTGCCTCAGAAACGTAAGATCCGAGGTTCAAACCCCACCTCTGAGCAAGTTTTGCGACATCGGTTGGGAAGGAGGCGTGAACTTCCTATTAAATGCTCTTCCGCGGGGCTCTGTGATAAGACCGTAAGGACTTCTTGGGGCACCTTAATCAGCTTAAAAAAAAAAAAAAAAAAAAAAAAATCATTGCCAAAACAATCGTACTTAGATGCTATAACAAGTGAAAATTGGTCTACCTCTTCTTCTAAAACGAAATCCCCAGTTACACTAATTGTTGTAAATGCAGCTATTAATGAGCAAAAAAATAGAGAAAAAAGAAGAAAAAATATTATTGTCTATGGCCTTCCTGCATCTAAAAAAGCTACATTGCAAGAACAACATGAGGAGGATAAAGAACAAATTAGTAAACTATTTCATGAAATAAATGTAGAAATCGTCCCAACATTCCAAAAAAGGCTAAATACAAAACAAACTGGAAAACCGGAACCAGTATTGGTGATTTTAAATGAAGATTCTAAGAGAAATCCAATTTTAGCAAAATCTAAATTATTAAGAGAAAAGCAAGATTACAAGGAGGTTATTTCGCCTGATTTAACTGAAGCAGAGAGAATGGAAAACTATGAGCTTAGAAAGAAACGTGACAAAATGAATGGTGAAAGAATAGCAAACTCGCCCTTTAGATATGCGATCCGTGGAAATGGATTTGTCAAATTTAAAATACAACTTAACACAACAACATAAAAAATTAGTAAGTTTGTTATTGTTTAATGTTTTATATACGAATGCAACATCTTTAGTAAACAAAGTTGAAGAATTTAAAATCTTATGCAGTTTTAAAAATCCTCAAATAATTGCTATTACAGAAACCTGGTTTAATGAGACATCGGAAATTTATTTGGAAGGATATTCTTTGTATAAACGAAATAGGGGGGATGGGCGTAGAGGAAGAGGGGTTGCGCTATATATAGATAGAAACCTAATATCTTATGAGGTAAACGAAGGTATATTAGATAGAAGTAAAATTGAACAAATATGAATCATTATAGTTGCAAATGATAAAAAATGTTTAATTGGTTGCGTGTACAGACCAAGCGAACAAGTAGATATGCTTGAAATGAGTCAAATATTCACAGAAGCTTGTAAATTAGTAGAAAAAAATAATTTTGCAGATTTGTTAATTATTGGTGATTTTAATTTTCCAAATATAAAATGGTCGAATGGATACGTTAGTGATATTTTAGTAGGTGAAGATTCTGTTGAAAATGAATTTATTAATATTATATATGAATGTTTTTAGTACCAACACGTATCAATCCCAACCTTTCAAAATGCACAATATGTTACACAAAATACCTTGGATCTTATTTTAACAAAAAACAATGAACGAGTCTTACAACTTGAGTCTAACCCAGTTCTAGGAAACATAAATATGGACATTTGGTTTTAACTTGTAAATTTAACCTTGATGCTATTGCAATGGAAAATTATCCAAAGTATAAATTTGATTACAGTAAATGTGACTATCCACAAATAAGCCTAAGTATTGATAAAATTGACTGGAATTATTTATTTGATGGGTTATCAGTTCAATTTATGTATGCTCTGTTTATTGAAAAAATTAGTCAATCATGTAATGCTTTTATTCCAATAACTGACGTAAATTCAAGAAAGAAAAGAAAAAATAATCCATAGTTTACTGATGAAGTAAGTCTTCTAGTACATTCAAAACAAAATTTGCGTTATTAAAATTTATCATCGAACTGGAAAGATTTGAATAAAGTAATGAAATATAAAAATATTTGCAAAACTGTGAAAATAGAATCGCGTAAAGCAAGATGTTACTATGAAAATGATCTTGTTGAAAAATCAAAGGTAAATCCGAAACTGCTATATAAATATGTGAATAGTCAAAAAACGATTAAACAAGTAATTAAAGCATTAAGAGATCAAACTGGTTGCGTAACAAATGATCAAAATGAAATTGTTGAAATTTTAAATAAACAATTTCAAGATGTGTTTACCATCAAAAGTTCTACAGAAGAGCTTCCACAAATCGAGAATTTAGGGGATATTATTATTGATGCAGTTAATATAGTTTATTTTGATGTTTAAGTAGATTAAAACATGTTGATATCAATAAAACATATGGAGTTGATTCTATACATTCGTTAATTTTGAAAAATTGTGCGGATTCTGTAGCATTGCTTTAATTTTTACTTTAATTAAACTTTAATTTTAATTTTAAACTTTTTAATTTAATTTTAATTTCAACTTTTTAATTTAATTTTAATTTCAAACTTTTTAATTTAACTTTAATTTTTATAGAATCTTTTGTTAACAGTGAACTACCAACTCAATGGAGAGCAGCAAATATTACACCACTATTCAAAAAGGGAGATAAATTAGAAGCTGCAAATTATAGACCAGTGTTATTGACGTCAATTACTTGTAAAATTATGGAAGGTATAGTCAGAGACTGCATACAATCATATTTAATGAAATATAAATTAATATCGAAGTCACAACATGGTTTTGTTAAAGAGAAGTCTTGTACAACAAACTTATTAGAGGCGTTGGATTATGTTTCATTTAATTTATCGATTGGTATTTCGGTAGATGAAGCACTTTTAGATTTTGTTAAAGCTTTTGATTCTGTTGCTCACAAAAGACTATTGGTTAAACTATCTTCATATGGAATTAGTGGTTTATTATTAAAACGGATTGAAGCTTTTTTAAAAAACAGAATCCAAAGAGTTATCCAAGGTGATGCTGTTTCTTTATGGCGCAAAGTCTTCAGTGGTGTTCCGCAAGGATCTGTTATAGGGCCCTTATTATTTGTTATTTTTGTTAATGATATATCAAATATATTTAAAAATAAGTCAGTATTGTATGCAGATGATACAAAAATTCTTTCAAAAGTGAATGAAATAAATGTGGAAAATAGCTTGCAAAAAGATCTGGATTGTGCAGAGGAATGGTCTAAAAAGTGGCTCTTGGGTTTTAATTCTAGTAAATGTGTTATAATGCATTATGGTACAAATAATCCGCGATTGAAATATACTTTAAATGGTGTTGAACTGAAAGATTCTAAATGCGAGAGAGATTTAGGTGTATATTTTTCAACAAACTTGAAATGGAAAAAACAAATTATATCAAGTACTTCTAAAGCAAATTCAATGATGGGTATGTTAAAGATGACATTTTCACGAATTGATGCAAAATTGGTTAAAATATTGTATAAGGTATTTAATAGACCTCTTATTGAGTTTGCAGTACCTGTTTGGTCACCATATTTTAAAGGAGACATATCACTTTTGGAAAAGGTTCAACACAGGATGACTAGTTCCATCATTAAGGAAAATTAATTATGAGAAGAGATTGGAAATATTAGATATATCTACATTAAAAACAAGGAGGGAACGTGGGGATTTATTACAAGTGTTTAAATTACTTAACAGATTTGAGGAAATTGATTTAATTAATGAACCGAAGCTTAAAATTGATTGAATTACTCGAGGTCACAATCTTAAATATGAAAGAGAAATTGTGAACTATTTACCTCGGCATAATTTTTTTATTAAATCGTATGGCCAATTTATGGAACGCTTTACTGGAAACTGTTGTTACTTCAAAAACTGTCAATCAATTTAAGAATAGATTAGATGAGTATAACGCCAAATCAAAGAAGTTTTAACTTAACATTTTTAATATATATTTGGATTAATGCTGTCAAAGTGTGATAAACCACACTCGCTGGATTCGTCCAGGTACTGTTTAACTACTAACTAACTAACTAACTATATATATATATATATATATATATATATATATATATATATATATATATATATATATATATATATATATATATATATATATATATATACACTCATTGAACCCATGTACTGTTTTATGAATAGATTTGGCTTTTTTTTTAGTTATATTGTTTTGACAATAGGCATGCTGATTGTAGCAGATAACTTTTAAACGCTCTGTCAAAAATGTGGTCTATCCGACAGTCGGATAGGCTGGACATAAAAGTATTTTTTTATATTCACAAATTCATTGCAGTTAATTGTGCGAATGATAAAATTTAATATTAATTTCGTTAGTTTAATTAATTTACTTAATAAGTCAACTGGAGATTGCCGTGACTAGAAAACAAAGAATATTGTTAAAAAGCAAGAAAACTGTTGACAGAAGACTTAAAAAACTGTATGAGTCAGATAAATATGAAGTTGGGAGAGAGTTCCAAAAGCTTTGATGTGTTAGGAAATAAAATAGATGAATAAAAGTTTTTAGAGCATAGAAGGATGCATTAGATGATGCAGTAGATAACAGATAAAGTAAAAAAAATGGGACTTAGCTGTATGACGTATCAAACGAGAATGAGAATATAACTTTGGCAGATACTTTATAATAGATTGTACATGTAGCTTCTATGAGAGGTAAGTAGTAAATAATAATTCAAGAAAATGAAAAGTACTCTGTATTGCATTTATTAATATAGTAATATCGACATTATTGCAATTGTTGCTTGCCACTATAAAATTTAAAAGCCACTGCAAGCATCAAACTATCATAGAAGAGAGATTAGAATCAAGATTGGCTGTCATTTCCAGTAACTTCTGAGATACTACTAAGTTCTCGATCTTGTGGTTTTTTTCGGATGATCTTTTGATTTTCCTTATAATCTTACTCTAATGATGGTTCTATTTCCTAATTACACAATTACATACACTAGTTTAGACAAAATTTTATCATTTTTTGATTGCTTCGAAGACAGCTGATCTTAGATCTGATTTCTCTTTTGCAACAGCTAAGAGTTTACAGTGGTTAGTATTTTTCAATTCTAAAAAAACTCTGTTGTTTGCTGCTAATAATTATCGCAACGATGTTGATAGTACCATGACAACGATGTTGATATTACTATGACAACGATGTTGTATTACTATGACAACGATGTTGATATTACTCTATTATCGAATCCAATACTCTTTCTAAGTCCTTCTAAGTCTTATTAAGTAGATTTTACGTCTTCTTAAAGTATCAGAATTGACTTCTCATAAAAATCATATATACAATCTATTGCAGTGTTACCATCTGCTAAGATTGCCTCTATTTCTCGTGCTTGCAATTTTCTTACTATTGATTTAATTCTATACCTCTATAAATCCCTAATTCGTTTTTATATGGAATACTGTTTTTCATATTTGATTTGGTAGTTCCGATAAGGCTCCTTCTTTTTAGACAAGGTTTAAAAACGCATTATTGATATTGTTAGACCAGTTCTTCTATCATGTTTAAAAAACTTTAATTCATCTAGTGTTTTTCCTCAATCAATGGTGCTTTAGAACTCATTTCTGTTTTCCTGATTCACACAGTTTTTTAAGTTTTCTGTCAACCATTTTCTTCAATTCTTTTTTTTTTTGCTTTCTGTTAACTTTATTATCGTTGCTTGCAGCCTAGTTGGATGGGAAATGGGTAAAATTTTGCTTGAAATCTAAAAAATTTCTGCTTATTGTTTTTTGGGCGAGTCTACTCGCACACACGTGCGAATAGACTACATTTTATTATAGTCTATTTGCACGTAAGAAAAAAAGTTAAATTTTTTTATAATATAAAGGTTTTTTAATTTTTCTTAAATTAGAAGATTTCTCTCTTTTTTTTTTAATTTAACATGCGAATAAATATAGTCTATTTGCACGTGAAAAACGTGCGAATAGACTATATTTACACCTGTTTTTTAAAAAACACAACATTTAAAAAACATTTTTTTTAAAAACTAACAGTCAAAGAGCTTAATAAAAAACTTGACAGTTAAATAGCTCAATAAAAAAATCTTACAGATAAACAACTCCATAAAAAATGTTGCGTAAAAAATCAATATATTTGAAAATAAAATTCCTAAATAAATGAAAAACGAATTGTGCTAAACACTGTTAATGTTTATTAACTAGAAAAATTTAAACAAACATCAGTATAAGACATGTAACATCTAGGCGTGTTCATTGAACAAATATCTTCCCATTTGTCAGTAAATGGATCATAAGAGCAGCAGGTATCTAAGTAACGACTCCCATTGTGTCCACCCATAACATACAATTTTTTATAAAGCACAGAAACACCAATACCAGTTCGAGGAGAAGACATTGAAGAAACAACAGCCCATTCATTTGAGATTGGATCAAACCTTTCCATACTTCGTAAATAGTTTGTACCATCATGGCCACCTTAATACATAACATTAAATTAAAAAGAATTCAATTAAAAATAAACCCAAACCATAAAATATTTTAAATAAGCATTTACCTACGACAAATATATAACCATTTACTTGCGCAGCACCAAAATTAATCCTTTTGCAACTCATAGCAGGCATCAACTCCCATTGACCGCTAATAGTGTTGTACCTTTCTACAGAAGATAAATGGGCAATACCTGGAAAAATCATTCGATGTTATGGAGTAGCATAAAACCTTTATCAGTTATTAACAGAATTTTTTTTAACTTATGATACCTTGACCCCCTAATACATAAATATATTCTTCTAATGTTACTGCTGCTGCAGCTCCTCTACTGTACTGCATGTCTTTGATCTTTTCCCATTTTTCTGTTGAAGGGCTGAACCTTTCTGCAGACTAATATAAAAAAAAACAGCACAAAGCAATCATTGTAAATATTAAAAAAACGCAACCAAACATGTTGATATTTTAGGATCATTCTATAAATTGTTGTGCTTTACATTGTGATGAATACCTGAACCCAAATTAAGCTAAACATACTTGTTAACGCAAAAAGTTTACTATTTCTTTGAAGTTTACTTTATGACAAAAAGACTTTCCACTTTTGATAAAAACAACTTTTTATTACATATCTGCGCTTAAACATTAAAAAGTTTTTATGAATTTTATAAAAGATTTTTAATAGCAAAAAGCAAGTTTATTAGAAATATATATATAATATATATAAAATATATATAAAAATATATAAATAAATATATATAAGAAATATTCATTTATTTATTAGAAAGTATCAAAAAGATAAATCAAAACTTATCTTGAAAAATGATTCATATCAAAACATGACTGTATCAAAAAACCCATTTTTTCCAAGCAGAAAAAAGTTTTATATGTGTTTAATTTTTTGTTTTCTTTCCTTTTAAATTTATTTTTTTAATTTAACAATTTTATAAATGCATTGTGTCTTAAATTTATTAAAATCAGTTAAGCTTGAAATAAATTAATTTTACAATATATTTAGGATGTGTATAAAAATTTTCAGATTCTATATCTTTTGTATGAATTTATTGACTGCGGTTGATTAAGTTTAGGTACTGGATTATTTGCAATTCTGCCATAACTCTTGATAATCACAATGTTACGCTTTTACGCTCAAAATAAGAATATTTTTTTGGTCAATGGCACAGAACCCTTAACAAAATTCTGCTGTTTGTAACTATGGTCATAATCAGGATGTTTCTTAATCAATAACACCTGTTTATACTTGGCTTTGGTAACTACTATCTTAAATAATGCTTATAACAACAAACACTGTATTTGCATATCACTATAGCAAGGTGCCCACATTGCATTCACATATTGACGGAGAAACAAGTTGAGCGCTGTACTACCGGGAGCGTGATTGGGATAAAACTGAGAGCTTCTTGCTTATGAGGCGAGGGCTCTACCACTACACCACTACCGCATATATATATATATATATACATATATATATATATACATATATATATTTATATACACACATATATATATATTTATATACACATATATATACATATATATATATATATATATATATATATATATATATATATATATATATATATATATATATATATATATATAATTTTTCTTTTTTTAATGATAGACTGCCTGCCCAAACCAAACCCTCAGTCGATGTAGCAGCACTCCCTTGCGAGTCAGGCTATTTGTCAATTGATGTAGCAGCACTCCCTTGCGAATCAGGCTATTTGTCAGTTGATGTAGCAGCACTCTGTTGCGAGTCAGGCTATAAGATACTCGATGTAGCAACACTTACACATGTTTTAAAAATGTTTTTTAATAAAACAAAAACAAAAACACAACTAATTAAAAAAAAACTTTCTAGTCATTATTATTGTGGTTTTTTTTAAAAACAATAAAATTTAATGTACTTCCGCATTAATTTAATTGCTTTGACATTCGAAGACAATAAAATGCACCTTAAGAGACAAGGTAAAAAAATTGTAGTCGAAAGAGACTTTTTTTACCATAAAAGTTTCTTTCGACTACACTATAAGGATATATATACATATACATATATATAATATATATATACATATATATATATATATATATATATATATATATATATATATATATATATATATATATATATATTTATATATATATATATATATATATATATATATATATATATATATATATATATATATATATATATAACATAAATTGCTTGTTTAAATGAGCACTCTGATGCCACACTGAAATAGCCTGCTGCTGGGGGTTTCAGTACATACATTGACTGACAAATAGCCTGACTCGCAGCGAAGTGCTGCTACATTGACTGAAGGTTTGGCATGGGGAAGCAATCTTTTCTTTCATCATGCTTCATTTTTTTCTTTTTCTAAAAACGTGGTATGCTATAAAAATAAGTAAAAATAGTGAGCAAATTCTTATCTAAAAGAGCTATAGAAGAGATATATATGTATGTATGTATATATATATATATATATATATATATATATATATATATATATATATATATATATATATATATATATATATATATATATATATATATATTTACAAAAATAAATTAAAATCAGTTAAAAAGTTTATCATGTCATGCAAAAGAAATAGGAAATAACAAAAGAATAGGTTAAAAAGATATGCAATATGTGTAAAAAATAGCAACTTAACAGAAAGCGTCATTTGTACATGGTTAACCTGTTTATTCATACCAAGTTTTAACCATTCTCCATTCTATAAACATACATTTTTTAAGTTTTAGCTCAAAAAATTTGTTAAATGCCAAATCTAACACAGAAAAACACTTATCATTCATTTGCATGAAAATATCCGGATCTTGAACATTATAAGAGGGACAAAAAGAGCTACAATAATCTCAAGCTTAGAGAAAAAAAATGTAAAGAAAATGAAAGAATAATATGATTTTTTAAACACAAGATTTTATCCAACTAAACAGATTAAAAATTATGTATTACTTTTTAAAATACATTTACTTATTTGACTGGCACTAAATGTAAATACAAACTACCATCAAATGCTTTATATGTAGCAAAATAATAACAAAAAAATAAGTTTGTTTAAGGTGAATTAGGGTAAATAGAAAAAGACGAAATGCTAATTATGGTGAATTTTTGACCTTAGTACTTAGCTTGTAAAATACGCTTTACTAACTTTATATAACACATTTTAAGTTACCTTCAAATATGATTGCCCATCGTAACCTCCAATTACATAGATGAAGCCTTCTAAAGATTACAGATATATTAGTTTTATAAAACATTAAAACAAAAGAGTTCAAAATAGATCAAGAAAAAAGTACTCACGACTATTAACAGCAACATGACCAGAACGTTTTTCTGTCATCTCTAATGAATACTTCCATGTATGTGTGTATATTGAATATTTAATCATTGATGAAGTAGGCAAAAAAGAAGTACTGTAAGGTATATAGCCACCAACAACATAAACCACACCTTAAAAAACAGTTTGAAATACAAGATAAATTTTTTAATTTATATTATTAAAATCAAAATCTTTGTTTCTAATATATTTATTGAGAGGAACAGCTAGTACATTTACTTTGCAACGTATTTATTGAGAAGAACTCCTAGTACATTATACTTTACGAATTTCTTAGTCATTTTTTATTACAATGTTTGAAAAATTCATAAAGCACATCACAAATGTCCAATAATTGATTAAGTTTCTTTTCAATATTGTATTAGCAGATAGTTCTGATATAGATTTAAATATGAATAAATTACTAACTAGGTAAAAACAAATAAGCTATTTGTGGTACATTTATTTAATCTTAAATAAATCTTTTTAGATAATGTTTTATAAGGTTAATACAGTTAATAAATGAATTATTTACAATAAACAATGCACAAATTTTACCATTATTTGCTACTGCTGCAGCATTAATTCTTGGGGTTGGTAAAGGAGAACAGTCAATCCATGTATCTTTTTTTAAATTGTAGAGAGTACAGGAGACTAAATTGTTTAAAAGACCATCTTTTCCTCCTGATAAAAAAACACAGTCACTACTATTCCTTTTAGATTTGGCTAAACAGAGTTCATTGGAAAGCATTCTAGATGGACTGGATTTTAAATTGTAAAACATATTAATTTTTAATTTAGATAAATAACCAGCTTTTGTAGAAAACAAGGAATGGAAAAGCAGGTATGACAAAAAGTTTGTACTAAGCTGGTCCAGCCTAATTTCATTAAACAATTCATAAAATACTTCAATTCTTGAGTCTTTATCATATAAAACCCATTGTTCTATAAAATAAAATATATCTTCTTCACATGAGACATTTAAACTATCATGTGAAATTATAAGTTTTAATGTATTTCCATTTGTATGTAAGTATTCATCATAATTCATCAGGTCTAAGAAATTATGAACTGAAAACTTTAAAGATGAAGACTTCAATTCATGAAGACTGTGAATCTCTGCAAATTCAATAAAACCCAAACAATTGGAAGCATGCATCTGACTCTCAAGAAAATTGCAACAAGCTGTCACTACTTGGTATATACCAAGCATGTTAGCTGTAACTAATAAAGGTTGAACATTTATAGAAGATAATGATATATGTCCAGTATATGCAAAATCAATAAGTATTGACACAGATTTTTCATCTGTTTTGTGTAAAATTATTGTTTTAACAAAAGATTCTTCCATTTTTGTACTGAACATGGCTTTAAAGTAATCACTTACAGCTGCAAGTACAACTTTATGAGCAGAAAAGCAAGTGCCATTATCTCCAACTTTCAGTTCTATATCACATAATTCTTCATGATCACGTAATAAAGATAATCTTTTCAATAAAAAAACTGAATGACTGTTATCCACATACATCTTTAATAATAGTAGAGCATATTTCATACATATTACCTAAAAATTAAATTAGAAAAATAAAAAGTTTTACAAAAACTATTTCAATATATATATATATATATATATATATATATATATATATATATATATATAAATATATATATATATATATATATTCACATATATATATATGTGTATATATATATATATACATATATATATATATATATATATATATATATATATACATATATATATATATATATATATATATATATATATATATAAGGGTTATATATATATATATATATATATATATATATATATATATATATATATATATATATATATATACATATATATATATATACATATATATATATATAAATATATATATATATATATATTCACATATATATATATATATATGTATATATATATATATATATATACATATATATATATATATATATATATATATATATATATATATATATATATATATATATATATATATATATATATATATATATATATGTATATATACATATATATACATATATATATGTGTATATATACATATATATATACATATATATATATGTGTATATATATATATATATACATATATATATATATATATATATATATATATATATATATATATATATATATATATATATATATCATACATATATATATATATATATATATATATATATATATATATATATATATATATATATATATATATATATATATATATATATATATATATAAGGGTTTAGTTTAAGGTAGCATACATTTTTTTTCACTATTCATATACATACATGCAAACACACACACACACATACATACATACATACATACATACATACATACATACATACATACATACATACATACATACATACATACATTCATACATACATACATACATACATACATACATACATACATACATACATACATACATACATACATTCATGCATGCATACATACATACATACATACATACATACATACATACATACATACATACATACATACATACATACATACATACATACATACATACATACATACATACATACACACACACATACTTACACAAATTAAAAAGTAAGCATAAATTCTTTTTATCAAATTTCGTATCAGGTAACCTAATTTTCTTAATTTTTTTGTAATTATCATTTTTATTTAGAATAAAAATTTTTACAAAGTTGTTTCATAATTTATAAATTTTGTGTTTTTATTTGTCAATTGGCATCTATCGTTTATTTCGACACTATCTTTGTAATTACGTTCAGATTAAGACGATCTAAATACCGATATTAAAGCAACAACAATATAAAATTATCAACAATTATAGTCTTTACTCGAAGAAATAAATAAATTATTGATAGATACAACAATCAAGATAATGTCTATTACGACAATTACAGACAAAAATAAAATAGGAAAAGTATTGTTCGCAAGACAATTCTTTAAAATAACAGTCACCAAGACAACATAACCGATCAGCGGCAGCATTTAAGAACAGACGAAAATGTAGACAAAAAAAAGGTAAATAAATTGTTTTTGGAATAAAAAAGCCGTCACAGGCTTTTCTATTGCAGAAATAAACACGATTCAAAATGGGATGTTAATGGGGATTGTCAAATATTGTTAAATGTATAAATTAAGTCACCGTATATTTGTTTTTTGCGTTTATTTGTGTTTTTTTAATAAAAATTTTTTAATAATTCGTTATTTAATTATGTTGTTAAAATTCAAAAAAAATTTTGTTAAATTTAATATTCATGTAAAAAGTTTACAAAAATCAAAATACATTAACAAAATATAGTGCACTATATTTTGTTTTTTATATTCCAATATTTGTCTGCTGTACTAATAGTGCATTATTTTTTAGCTTTATATAAAATTTTAGTTTAAATTTTTGTGCTAGTGGTCTCAAAGTAATTTTTTAAAATGTTACATGAAAAGTGAAGCTGGTAAAAGTGGAAGTTGAATTTTCTTGCATTTGATATAGAATTAACACCAGTCATGGTGATGTTTGTGATTGTTACAATCCGTAGTTTATTTTGGATACTCTCTTCAATAAGCACATTTATGATAGCAACCTATGCTCTTGGTACACCAAAATGGCTCCTAGGAAAAAAATTAACTACTTTAAGTCAAAATAATCGTACTATAGAGTATCAAGATTCTCTAGGACTTTTTAACAGATGTAAATATGGTAAATGGCTGACAGGAGTATCAACATGGGAGTGGGAAACCAGATGCTACATATCTGCTACCAGTTTTGGAATGATATCTTCTCCATATTGGAAAATATCTGTACTTGCATTAGGTGTAGCAACATTTTTTTTGGCTGTTGCTTCAATATTTGGAGTTGTAAGTACATGTAAGCAATTAATAAGAAGAAAATCTTTGATGAACATAGCTGGTATTTTTCAAGCATTTGCAGGTGCTATTATTGTAGTTTCATTTTAAAGTTGTATATATTTTAAAATAATAAATAGAAGTCTTTCTAATTGATATTTTAACAAATATTTTTTAAATGTCACAATATTTGTTTTGATTATTTTATATTTTAACAATGCATAACAAAGCAAAACAAAAATTACAGCAAAATATTTAATCAACAAAAAAATAAAAATATTTGTACTTTTTAGATATTAGTTATCAATGTAAGGAGATATTTTTTATTTAAAATGGCTCTTGCTATGTCTTTAAAATGCTTTCATTATACAGCACTCAGAATTAGTTGGGTTGGTATTTGGCAATGCCAACCCGACTCCTAACCTTAAAGTGTATAAAGAATAAAATCCCAAAAAACATAAAGCCATAAATTAGTAAAATATTGTTATATATTTGATTTTCACATTAAATCAATTTAGCATTAGAATTTTTTTTTGTAATTGTAAAAAATAAAAGCATTTAGAAAGATAAGATATTCATACATAATAACTATAAAAAAACAATTTTTATTTTTCTAATAATAAAATTTATAGTAAAAAAATAATAATATTTCTTAGCAATAAAACTTTTATTAAATTGCTTGTGTTTAGGCATACTGCTAATAGTTGCTATTGTTTTTTTCCCCCTTGGTTGGGACAGTCAACAAGTGCATAAACAATGCTATGAAAAAGACGATAAACCATTTAAATTCAAATTAGGATTTTGTGTTATTGGAGAGGCTTATTTGTGTGCAATTGGTGCTACCTTTGCAGCATTTTTCTGCTCATTATTTTCATTTGTTGCTGACAAAGCTGTGTTTTCTGACAGGGTTCAAGATGAAATTTTAGAGGGGAAGCAACTGATTTGTGTTTTTTAACTAGTTAAGTATTAAAAAAAAAGTATAGTTTTTATTTTTTGTATAAATTTTTATCATTAAGTTTGTCTGATTTTATGTTGAAAAATTATGATGATACATTTTAGCACTTTTTTTATACTTATATAAGCATGTAAATATTTTTAATTTTATAGTGTGTTAATGAAAATAGAAAATTTAAAAATTAAATTTTTGTTGTAATTTTTTTGACTTTTAAGTTTTTTTTTAAACATTTAATGTTTTTCTTTAAAAATAGTATTTAATAAATTTCTATAAATAAATAATACATAACCTTTGTATTTTTGTGCATCTGAAACTAAATTACAGAAAGTTTTTTTTTTTTATTTCTGAGGAAAGTTCCTTTTGTGTATATTGTTTGTGTTGTTAGCATTAATTATTTTTAATATTTCAAATACCTATAAAAAATAAAGTGTATTGAATTAAGTTTTATGTTTAATGAGTATTCTTATTTATTTAAGTGATTGTATTTTGTGCTTTATTAACTTAAAACATAAAATGCGGAATGTTTTAAATGAATTTTTTTTTTCTTTTTCTTAAAAAGGTTATTTGTTAAATCAATTTTTTTTTGATAATTTCGATTAGTAATTGTTTCTATGGTAAAATTAATCTGTACTTTTAAATGAAAATTACTTTTATTGTAACCAATAATAAATTATTTTAAACTAATCTATGATTATGTTTTTGTTTTGAAAATAATAAATGATAATCTCTAAGAAATTATTATTTTTTTAAATAACAAATAATTTATGTAAACAACTTTTCTTTTATACAAATAGTTTAATGTAAAATATGTCATGGTTAAATATAAGTGGAAGTTTATCTTCCATTTCAAACAACATTTCAACTTTTACAAGAGAAGTTCTCACTGAGGCAACAGCTGATATGTACAAAGATTCTGATACAGAAGATGATGTTGAAGAGTCTAGTAATAAGTTTATACCAAACCTATTGATTTTTTTCTGTTCTTTACTAATTATATTCTGCTATTGTTAAATCTTACATATGTTAATTATATTCTGCAATTGTTAATTCTTACATATGTTGTCTTTATATAATGAATAATATTTGATTCTAGATTCTGAACATATGCTCAGTGGAGTTGAAGTATTAGCCAATGACACAGTAGATTTAATAACTAATGAACTAGATCATTTAAAGTTAGAAATATCTTCCAAAGACGAACAGATCCGCTTTCTGGAACAGGAAAATAATAAATTGCAAATTAATTTTGAAAAGCATGTCACCAAACTTCAACAACACATTCACGACAAGGACGAAGAAGTTGAAATACTTTCGGAAAAACTTAAAAATTTAGAAGCAGATTTTGTGGGCAAAATAGAGGATTTGACATTTGAACGAGATTCACTTAATGCTAAATTAGATGCTAAAGATAACGATTGGGGTAACAACTGGTCAAATGAAGGCACTAATGATGAAGAGCTAGAAAATCTAAAGCTTGAAAACGAATCTTACTCCAATGAGTTGATGATGAAAGAAATAGTATTAAATTCAATAGAAACAAGAATGAGGGAGATTTCAAAACGAGATATAGATGCAGCTGATTTTTCTGTTTGGCTAGATGAATATTTGCAGAGCAATAAAGAGTCTATTATTTTGAAGTGGTTAAACAGTACTTTAAATGATGAAAAACTTTATTTTGAGCTAAGTACTTTAGAGAAAACTGAACAGTGGTTGTCTCATTGTTTAGAAGCGAAGAACAAATATGATGCCACAATTTCTGATTTGGAAAAAAAAAATTTTGATCTACAAAGTACCATAGATAAAATTGCTAACACCGTGACAGATCATTTTGGTTTATCTTTTAATACAAAGGATCATGCTGGAAATTCTCAAAATAATTTTGCAATTCAAGGTTTTGAAGAATGGATAAAATCTTTAAAAATAAATCAACAAGAAATGAACGAAAACAAAGCGTTTTTGAATCAAATACAAGCTGAAATTCGAGAATTTGATGTCGAAGATGAGAGCTTTAATATAAAAGACTTTTCCAAGTGGATTGAAAAAGTACAGGTTCGAATAGATGACCTTGAAGTTGAACTTCTAAATGTGCAAGATATTAAAGAGAAAAATGAAAAGCAGCGATGTATTGAACGTGCAAAGCTAGAAGAGCTATTTATTGAAAAACAAAATGAAATTGCACTCTTAAAAGTTGAGCTTTATAATAAGTCTAATTTTGTAGAATCAAGTTACAATGAAACTGAAATTAAAGATGATTTAAATGCTCTTCATGAACAATTGAATGAAGTGCATGCTAGGTGTGATGCATTTAAAAATGAACTGACGTGTTGTCGTGTAGAAAACGATAAGTTATTAGAAACTGACAAGGAAAATAAATTGTTAATTGAAGATTTAAAGCATACTAACATAACACTTGAAGCTAGAGTGAATGAACTTTTAAATGAAATAGAAAAATATCATTCAGAAAATTTAGCTTTTAAAAATGTTAATGGAGGACTTCAAGTACAAGTTGATGAGCTAATGAGCAAATGCGCCTTGTTAACTCAGAAACCTGTAGGTGAAAATCCAGCGAAGGTTGACTGTTGCATTAGATGTGATCAAAATGAAACGGCTGCAAAGGTAGCAGATGAAAAATTCAGTAAACTTAAAATTAGGTATGCAAAACTTATACGCCAAAAAGAAAAACTTGAGAAAGATTACTCACATATGACCAATAATTCTCAAGAATTAATTGACCTAAAAAAAAAACTAGAAAACCAGTACTTGTATTTAACACAAATTAACAATCTACTTAATGATAATGAAATTAATTATGATCTTGTTGAAAATGTACTTAAAATGGACAACAATGATGACAATAGGCTGTTCGCAGAAATTATCAGAAGTAAGCACTTATTTTTATTTCAAGGTAAAGTTCCACATTTTGTTAAATAAAGAGGATGTGTAGAAATAAATAAATGATGTTGTTAACAAATAAAGATGATATTTTAAAAAGTAAGTTAGGATGTATGAAGCCCTCATAAAGCCCTCAGAATTAGAAAAATTAAGGTCAGCAATAAATTGCTATAAAGCAATAAATAGTTGCTATAAAGCAATAAAATGATTTTTTGCAGACCTTAAATACTTTTTGGTTGGCAGTTAGGTTTGCATTCCTGAATGCTGACCTTTATTTCTGAGGGCTGTAGATTTTTTTATATAATATTATAATAAGTTGATTATCCTTTAATGTTAGTATTAGTTGCTTTTTTTTGAGTTTTTTGGAGTCCAATTGAACAAATCCACAAGCTATTTCATGGTATAGTTTTAAACCATACATTAACAATGACTTCTGCCCTGCTCTATTATATTATCTACTTCTATATTCTAACTTGTCTAGTGTTATTTTGGTGTAATCCACAATTTTTTAAATAGAACGGTTTAAAAATATCATTTTCAGTCGATGTAACATTTTGAATGAAACATAGTGATTTTTAAATTGTTTTTTTTTTTACACTGATCCAACCAAGCAAATTTAACATTTCTGTTTTGTTAGTTGACCAGTCACATTTTAATATGATTCTCATTGCTTTGTTTTGTAGTTTTTCTAAGGTGTTTAAGTTATTTTTGTTTATATCAAGAAAACTAGAAGCACAGTATTAATATCTTGTAGAATAAGCAGAGTTAAATATTTGCTTATTCTACCAAGATATCCAGTTGTCTTTGCAATTTATTAGAGAAATGTTTGATATGTTTAGTAAAATTAATTTGGTAATCAATAATAATCCCTAAATACTTCATGCAATCACCAAACTCAATGACTACATCATCCAATCTCACTTTTATATTATTGTTATTAATTATTAAATTATCTTTTCTTTTTTTTGAATTTACAATAAGGATGGCCATGGACTTGAGTATTTAGTTTATGTTTGTTATTTCTTAACCATTTATAACGAATTTTTAAATCTGGATTTAATCGAAAAACAGTTTCTTCAAAGTTTGTACCCTCAATACAAACCAATGTATCATCAACAAACAAATTTACAAAAGAATACTTAATTTTTGATTTAATATCGTTTATGTAAATAATAAACAAAAAAAGGTACACTACCTTGTGGAACCCCTATATCACAAACCAGTTCTCCCTATTCTTCACCTTTTATTTTGACTACTTATTTTGACACCTTTTATTTTGACTACTTTATGCGGTAGTGGTGTAGTGGTAGAGCGCTCGCTTCATAAACGAGTGGTTCCGAGTTCGATCCCCACCACGTCCCTGGTAGTACCGCGCTCAACTCGTTTCTCCGCGCAGCGGCCTTGTTCATCAAGGTTCGTGTTTCGGAGTTATAGAGTTGAGAGAGGGTTATAGCCACAAAATAAGTAGCCTCCTCGTCTGTAGTGGCCTTCTCGGCCTTGAGGAGGTGAAGTAAAATAAAAAAAAAAAAAAAAAAAAAAAACTTGAGTTCTCATTGAAAGATATATTGCAATCCAATTTAGAACTGTACCATTAACTTTGTAACCTTGTAACTTTTCTATAAGAATCTTTCTATTAATTATTTTAAATGCTCTTTTAAGGTCTAGAATTACTGTTATAACAAATTTATTGTTATTCAATGATGTTCTCCATTTAGAAAGGAGTAGTTGAGTAGCTGATTCAGTTGATCTGATTCAGAAGATGTACTTAAAATAAATGATGATAACCAATATCTTAATTATATGTATTTGCTAGCATTTGAGAAAATTTTGAAATAAAATTTGAAATATTTGGAAACAATTGAAATGTTTAAAACTTATTTATTTTTTTTAGAAATTTTGGCAGCTTTATTGTTGTTGCGTAAGAAGTACAATGACTTCAATTCATTTGCAGAAAATAATCTTTTAAGAACAAAGGTATATTTGATTTTACTGTCATTTAATAAAGTAGTTGAATATAAGTACATGTTTCTGTTTATTGACTGTTTATTGAATCTGTCTTGAAGTTTCTAATAATTCGATGTTACTGTGTAGTTCTATGTTAAGTTTCTGATTATTCAATGTTTCTATGTGAGGTTTCTGATTATTCAATGTTTCTATGTAGTTTTTACGATTTGACCTCGGTTTTTAACAAATGCACTAAAAAAAAAAGATTTTTAAATAACTTTGACTCGTTTATCTTTACTAACATTTTTATATCAGCAAAATGCTTTTAAATAAAGTAATTTATAATTTTGATTAAAGTATCAATGAAAATTGTATAAATTTTTATTTATATTATTTAATCATATAATATTTTTTTATTCTTAAAATGAAAAAAATAGAAATTATTTAAAAAAATTTTATATGCGACGACTTTAAACAGCGATGATCTCTTTAATAAACTTTGTATAAAAATCATTAAAGTAGAAAAGAAGCGAATATTTGTGAAGAAAAAAAAAAGATAAAGTTTTTTGAAAGCTGTTTAAATTAAATAACTCAGACCTTTTTTATGTTTTTTGTATTATTGAAACGCATTTAAATAAAGTAACAAATCACTGCTAATAATTTTTAATAAATATATTAATATTGTATTTATTTTTTTATATTTGAATAAGTATATATTTTTATAATAAATGTCTTTAAGTAAAAAAAAATTATATCAACTTTTTAAATAAAGGATTTAGTTTTTTTGTTTTTGTTTTTGTGTACTTTATTGCAAAGAATTGTTAAGAATCTTTTCTTTAACTTTCTTTTTTTAACTTTTAAATTCTGGCATTTATTAGGCAATCGTTAGATATAAGTTGTTACTTTATTCAAAAAAGGTTTTGCATAATGTTATATAATAAAAACATTAGTATAGATAAACGATTCAAAGTTATTTATTCCAATCGTAATTTAAATAATCTTATATTTTATTATTTATTTTAGTTTAGTTTTAATTTTATACTTTTTATTATATTTTTATTTAAGTTATTTTTATTTTTTTTTTTTATGAAGATTTCAAATTAATCACAAATTAGTTGAAAATGAAAATCTATAAAATTGGTCAAAAAATATATTGATTGAAAACAAAAATGTCATAAATTGGTCAGAAAAAAATATATATGGCTATAGTAGGACATCTGAAAGTTAGTTCCACTTTTTAGTAGATGATCCACTTTTTGTAGACTGAACATCTAACATGTTCTGTAGGCGCAAACAGCCATGAAGTTTAACTTTTTGTAATTAGTTAGCTGGTATTATTTAGTCTTAATTTTTAAACCAATTAAGACAAATTAATTTTAGTTGAGTTTGATTGAAAAGTTTATAAGGCATGTGTAATTTTATAAGTTTTTAGTATTTTATTGAAGCATTGTTATATTTGTTACTGTAACAATCATTTAATTGCATGTGATGATTTTACTCTTACCTTCTTCTGGTATTAAGTAAAATAGCTTATGATATAGTTAGTTACAAAAGTTGCTTAAGATTTCATTTTAACTTATTTGGTGGCAATAACATAGTATAAAATTATATAAACATATTGTAAAAGAATTATTGTTAAGAAATTCGAAAAATATATTTAATATATTTTTCAAAGCATTTGTTTATTATCTATCACATCATATTATTCATTATTTGTCTTATTTATTATATTTATTTGTTATATTTTATATAATGTATTATTTATATACTAATGGTCTAGAATGACTTTGTATAAATTTTTTGTTATCAGAAGGAAGAATTGATAACTGAAGAAAATTCTTTACAAGACTTATTAACTCCATTGGAGCAAACAAGTGATTGGCAATCAAATTTTAATGTTCAAATTGATGTAAATAATGCTGTTATTGAAAATAAAATCGAATCAACAGGTTATATAGCTGAGCTAGAAGACAAAGTTGAAGTATTACAAAAAATTAATGATTTAAATGATCTTGAAGGAAATAAAAGAATAAATTCTGAACAAATATCACATAGTTATGAACAGGAGATTCTCAATACTTCTTTAGAAAGTCAATTTTACCAGCAAAAATGCATTCAACTTGAGAAAGAAGTCTCAGAATTGAGAATAAAGATAAATAGTTTAGTAAAGAAAGATGAAATGCAATTAGCTTTGCATGAGTATGGTATAAATTCAAAAATTCAATGTGAACTGTCTGAAGATGTTTTACAGGAGAAAGTTCATCAACTGTCATTAATGTTAACTGAAAAGTCAGAAGAATGTCATACCCTCAAATCAAAGCTCCTGTTCCTTGAAAATGAAACATCTGATATGGACTTGATTAAAGAGGAATGTAAGCAGTTAAAAGCAATGCTTCTTGGTAAAGAAAATCAAACAAATATAGATGATACTCTGTTATTATTGCAAGATGAGTGCCAACAATTAAAACATTTACTTGCCATTAATGATGCAGAAAAAAGAAAGCTACTGCAACTTAATTTAGAAAAAGATAATGAAATATCAGACATGCAGCTGTTGCGTGAAGAATGCACTCAATTAAAAAGAATGTTAGTTAATAGTTGTGAATCATCGCAGGCTAATAGCGAACTTGATAATCTGAAGATGATTCTACAAGACAAAGATTTAGAGATTCAGAGACAAAGTGCCATAATCATTGATTTGCAAAATATGTCTTCTAACATGGAGTTTGTCCAAGAAGAATGCAAACAATTAAAAAAAATGTTATTAGATAGCTCAATTAAACATACAGGAGATTTCCAAAATAACTCTTTGATAAACGAAGAATCGAATAGCTTTATGGTACAAGTCCAAGAGCTTGAAGAGTTTTTGCGTGAAAAAGAACATGAAATTTTAGAGAAAAATTCTGAGCTACAAAATCAATATAAAGTCATTGAAAACTTGAAAGATTCAGTTTCTAATATGGAACTTATTCAACAAGAAAACAAATCTTTAAAGAAAATGTTGTCGGATAAAGAAGAATTGTTTGCAGAGCTGCAAAATGATATTGATGGTGCAAATCTGATGTTGCAACTTAAAAACGATGATATTAGACAACGAGAGAAGCAATTTAAGGATGGTGAAGTCCTTTTAAATAAAACTATTCATTCTTTACAATCAAAGGAACAAGAGTATGAGTTATTAAAACAAGAACTCAATGAGAGTATTTTGCAGAATGAAAACATTCAACTGTTGCAAACAGAATATAAAGATGTTTTTGATAAACTCAATGCTACAAAAAATGAATTAAATGAAACACGAAGAAAGCTTTCTGATGTTGAAGTTGACCTTCAGCAAATGAAAGATTACAAAGAAAAATGCTTTGAATTGTCAGAAAATTTAAAAATAAAAAATGAAGAATTGCAACATATTAAAGCACAGTTATCAGAGGCAGTGATTTCAGAAAGAGAAACAATAACTCACTTTCAAAATGAACTAATTGAATTAAAAAAGATGATTTTGGATAAAGAAATGCAATTAACTAGTTTGAATGAGGTTTTGCTGACAAAAAATGAAAAACTAGAAAGTATACATAAAAAATATGATGAGGCTAGTTCTTTAATTAATGATTTAACCATAAAAAATGAATCAAAAGAAGAAATTATTCTTAAGTTAAAGACAGATTTTTCTAACTTTAATAAAGAGTATTTAGAGAAAATAAAAAATCTTGAAACATCTGAGAAGAAACTACAAGAAGAATACTCTTTTTTAAAAGCAAAATTGACTGAGCAAGATTTGGTAGAAAAAAATGCAATAGTCAGTGAATCAAACAATGTTTTTATTGATGACAAATTTTGTTCTAAGTGTGCAGAATTAAACTTGCAGTTAACAAATATTCATAAAGCAGTCATAAAGTTAAAGTTTATGCAACATGAAGATATTGAAATTATTGAGAATAACAGACATTTAGAGAAATTATCTGATTCTATTATTACTGATGAAAACACAGAAAAAGGTAATATATATTCAGAAATAATTTCACATTTTCAATATGCACTAGCTGTGCATGAAAAGACTGTAAATACCATAAACAAACTTTTGTCTAAGCTCAAAGACTCTGATGATAATTTTGAAAAATTGAAAATGTCGTATGAACTAAAGTATGCAGACATGGAGAGTCAAATTTTAGAATATAAAGAATTAGAATCTATATATGAGAATGCCTATAGTGAAAAAGAGTCTCTACAAAAAAATTATAAAAATAAATGCATTGAGTACAAAGAACTTGAAGAGCTGTACAATTTAAAGTCTGTTGAATGCAAGGGCATGGAAACTAAGATAGCTACTCATTATTCAGAGTTACAAGTTTTACAAAATCAGTATGAAGAAAAGTGCACTGAATGTATGTTACTCAGTGAAAAGTTAGATACTCAAAAAAAAGAATACCTAGTTGAAATAGACTGTATTAAAAAATCTCTTTGTGAGTCTTTAGACAATTCCTCGAAAGAAATTGACATATTGAAAAATGAAGTGTCTAAATTAAGTCAGAAAAATGAAACACACTTTGACACAACACAAGATGAAATATCATTACTACAAACCCAGCATATAGAAAAGTTATCAGAAATGGAAAACTTGTTCAAACGTGAAATGGAAAATGTTTTAAATAAACACTTTTTAGAGAAGGAAGAAATAGTTCGGAATTATCAACAACAAGTTCAAAGTCTGCATCTTCTTGTTCAAAATGCAAACGAATGTTCAGACTGCATTAACCTAAAAAAGAAACTTGCTCAGATCACTGATATAATAGATGAAAAAAATTGTGAGTGTGAAAAGCTAAAATTTGATATTTTAAAATTAGAAGAAAAGCTGACTGAGCTTGAACAAAATAATAACAACATGCAGGGTTTTAACAAAATTGAATTTGATAATATGAAAAATGACCTAGAAATAAAGAATGAAAAAATCAAACAGTTAACATTAGCACTGGAAGATAATGAAGCACGAATAGAAATTAGGAACAAAGAGCGGATCATTTTGGAAGACTTTGCTCTTCAAAAAGCTGAACTAGAAAATGAGAAAAAGATATGGGTTATTGAAAAACAACAACTCACAAAACAGATTCAAGAGTTGGAAGTTTTGATGAAGCATAAAGAGGTACGTCATAAAGAAAATGAAGTGAAGATAACCAGAGAGTTGGAAAGACTTAGGAATCATTTAATCATGGTATATATTTTATTTTTGTAAATAAAGTTTATCAATTCATTCTCTAATATCAATTTTATTATAAATCTTTCATCAAGACTGAAGATAATCATACAAAAGATATACTAGAACTGCATGAAAAAGAGGCTGCATTGCAAAAAGAATTGGAAGAAGCAAAAGATGCATTAAAAAAAAAGAATATAATATTAAGTGATTCAAGGTTGGTCCATATAAAAGAAAATTAGTATTATACTTGTAATGTGTTGTAATAAATATCTATTTAAATCTATTTTATATTATTTTGTTATTTATCATCTCTTTATTTCACCAAATCATATTTTATATACACTATCTGCTATTATTATTTGTACTTCTTTGTTATTTATATTAAAAGAAAGTATTTTTTAGTTAAAAAAATCATCTAATAGTTTTTGTTAATAAAATTTACACCTAAACATGACTTGCTTGATTTTTTAAAAGCTTAGTACAAAATTTTATTAATTTTTTTTTAGTAAACAATTTCAAGAACATGTATTTTCTATTGAAGAACAGCTACATCATGTATCTAGTCAAAGGGATTTAAATCTACTTGATCTGTCAAAGTATAAACAACAGAGTGAACATGACAAAGCTGCTATTTTTAACTTGCAGCGTGCTCTTGAGCAATTAGAAAAAGGTAAAAAACAAAAACAAACTAGTAGCAAAATTTTTAAATATTTCCAAGGATTAGATTATTACTTTTTGATTATTAATCTTTGATATACTCTTTCATTTATTAACAAAGTCTAGTTACAACTTAACACTTCTATTTTGTTAACTTTGAGTTTGTTTTGAAATTATTTTTTTGGTAAAAAAAAAAAAAGGTTCGTAAATTTAGTAAAAAATTACCAAATAAATTTGAAACTATCTTTAGAAAAAAGAGAGCAATACGATAACTTGGTTTCACTTACTAAGCGAAAGCAAGATGAGTTGGAATTGAGAATCAAAAATTTGTTAGAGGAACAGCAGATTTCAAAAGTAAGCGGTTGTTTTCAAGTAATATTAATTTGTTTTTCTTTTTTTAGACTAGTAATAGAATTATTTGTATATTATTTTTAAAACAAGCAAAATAAATATTTGAAAAGACATTTTGAGGCATTTAAAATTATTGATGAAACTGTTTTATAAGAAATGCTTGGCAGCAATTCAAATATTATATTTAGTAAGGATTCTTAAATAACCTCATGTTTATATAAGAGTTTTTCCTACCTTGAATTTTGCTTTACAGAAATTAATTTCTCAACTTTACAGAAATTAATTTCTATAATTAAATTATTAAATGTATTTAAAATTTTAATCTTTTATTAATCACTATATTTTGCTTTTTACAAACCAAAAAGTTATTACATCTACATTACCATGCAACTTGTGAACTTTTTGAGAAGTTTTTTGGTTAAAATGCATACTTAAAAAGACAAACTAAATGCAATCTGACTAAGGAAAGCAAAACTGATGTTTATAAATAATTCCATTAGTAGCAAAAAAATTGATTTTGGCAATCAAATAAAAATTACTTACCTAATTATTAAGTTTATTTACCTAATTAAAAAATTTTATTAGATGTATTATTTTTATTTTTTTATTTTTTTTTAGCTTGATATTCTAATTGAACAAGTAAATATGAAAAATCTTTATTTTCCTTATTTCATGGCTGTTTCAATCAATATAAAAACGAGCCTGACATGTTACAGTATTTCCACATAAAAAGTATAAAAATTCACTAACTTGAAAATAATAGTATTTTTTTCTATAAACGTTTTCATCTTCAAATAAAAAAAAGATAAAAGATTTATCTTTCCTTGTTTAATAAATATTTACATTTAATGGAATAAAAATAAAAGTTTTAAAAATATTGCCAATAATTTGGGATCACTTTTCTGTTTTTTGCGATTTTTACGGAAAACCCGTCTTAGGCCAACTAAGATTTGATAACATAGCTACATAGTTGATGGTTGAAATTTGAAACACTTGTTAATGAATTCTGTTCTATCTAAATTTCTGCAGATTTTGATAATTTTTTTACAAAAAGTTTATTTTTAATGCATTTATATTTTTGTTTTTATTTGTTTTAAATAAATAGCATATTACTTTTGAAAAGTCTGTGGAATTAATAATACTTCAACGTTTTATGAATATGAAAATTAAAAACTTATTTTCTGTACCTTAAGCTATGTTATCAAATATGTTTTCAAACTTGGCTGATTTAGAAAAAATTTTCTATTTTTATGCGTATATTTTTGTTTTGATTTGAAACAATAAACGATCTCAAATACTTTACTAGTAAAATAATGCGATTTGCTTTACTGACTTAAATAATCCCTTTTTCAGAAAAATAACAAATATAATAAATATTTATAATAATAATAATAATATGAAATTACATATATATATACAATAAAAATTGTTACATTTATTTTAATTACAAATGATGTTTGGAATATTAAAAATAGTAAATCAAAGCAATTTTTGATTTTCTTATTCTATTCACATTTTGGCCAGTGCATATTGTGAAAAGTAATTATTCTATTTTACCATACATATACATACATACATACATACATACATACATACATACATACATACATACATACATACATACATACATACATACATACATACATAAATACATACATACATGCATACATACATAGATACATACATATATACATACATACATACATACATACATACATACATACATACATACATACATACATACATACATACATACATACATACATACATACATACATACATACATACATATATATATATATATATATATATATATATATATATATATATATATATATATATGTATACATTTATATATATATATATATATATATATATATATATATATATATATATATATATATATATATATATATGTATATAAATATATATATATATATATATATATATGTATATATATATATATATATATATATATATATATATATATACATTTATATATATATATATATATATATATATATATATATATATATATATATATATATATATATATATATATATATATATATATATATATATATATATATATATATATATATATATATATATATATATATATATATATATATATATATATATATATATATATATATATATATATATATATTAGGGGTAGTCATTTTTAGGGAATTTTTGAAATTGAAGTACATACCCAGCTAAAGTTGGAGCAAATATGCTAAAACTTTGTCAAAATTTTTTTTAGGTCAATCGGGTGACTTTTAAGTCCCCCTCAAGACTAAAGTTGTTAAGAAATTGTACTTCAAAAAAGGAAAAATAGGGTGTGTTCAGGGTGTTTGAGGGGGATTTAAATGAAAAAATTATTTCCATTTTTTTTTTTTTTTTTTTTGTTATTTGATATCTATATTTTCATTTTAAAAGGGTATGTCATCATGTTTTTTACATATTCTTGGTTAAAACAATATTTACGAAAGGAAAAAATAAAAATTTTATGTTACGCAAGAGGTTATGAAAATCGGCAACGATAAAAAAATTCTTATAAAATAATGCAGAAGAAAATGTGCTGAAGATCCTGCACTGTATTTTTAAGTCACTAAGAGTTTTTATAAAGAAATTGTATGTGAAATTGCGTTACATTATTTTATTTTTGTAAATAACTTTCGTATTTACTTGATTGTTAATAATTGAATTACAATATAAAGTAAAATTGTATTGAAGTTTTTAATTAATTACAGACCATTAAATATATTTAGATTGAATACAAAAATGGAAAAAAAAATTGTAAAAGATATTGGGAAGAGGAAGTTTCTTAGATCAAGCAAAAACAAACTTTTTATCATAAATGAGGCTAAACCAGCTATTACATGTACATATCTAATTTAAAAAAATTGTTTTGAATTTTAAATTTTTTGTTAAAAATTAAAATATTGATTTTTTTTTTCTTAAGGTCTTCAACTCCCTACTGGAATGGATGTTCTTCAACACATTGTCTACAGAAGATCACTACTTCCTCATAATGTTAAGAAGTCAGCAATTTTATCATGCCCTCCTTACAAGATTCAGGGTTACAAGAGATGTGAAGTAGATGATTGTGAATGCATTTTAGGCTTAATTAAAAGACCATGGCTTAAAGCGAGATTTCAAGTAATGTCAGATAAAAGTATTATCAAGAACCTTATGAAGATGGACAAGAAGTATTCAGATTTGAGTAGAAATAAATGCAGAGGAACAGCTAGAGACAAGGTTAATCAAGGGGAGTTTATTTCATTTTTGAAAAAGCTGTTTTAGATTGGTTCTACAGATTTAAAGAACCAAATTAGGAAGGATAAAAAACGCTCAGATAAGCACGATGATTTAACTTTTTTGGAAGACCAGGAAGGACCGAGATATTTTAGTTTGGGATCAGAAGATAGAAAATTTAGCGAAAAAGGTTTTGTGTTGTTTTTATTGGGTTAATTTGACGTTTATTATTCAAATTTGCTAATTTAACATACATTATTTGTTAATACACATACACTATGTTAAAACAAATTTTAGGTTTCTGAAGGTGAGAGGAAGAGGACAAGGCTAGAAGACGAATCTCCGAAGATTGATGCTACCTCAGAATTAGACTTAAATTTCACTGACACTAGCGCTGATTCTGATTCAGAATTTGAACCCGAAGTTTGGCATCATAGAAGAGCAGATGATTGCAACATTACTGCTAAAGTCCCTAAGAATATTTTTGATGGAAATGTATCTATCATAGCTACAGCAAATGATATCTCCCCCAATGTCTTACAAAAAGTAACTGGAGCAATTCTTCAAGATTGTGGAGTTGATATCGCAAAATGCAAAGCCAGTGCTTCAACAGCATTAAGGAAGATGAAAAAAACTGCTAAGGATACTGCAGAAATTGCTAAATTAGATATAAAGAAGGCCATGGAAAAAAGCCGTTATCCCTGTATAATTCATTTTGACGGAAAGACTTTGTTTGAAATAAATCAGGGAAAACCGTGGAAGGAACAGTTTTGAAGGAAGCTGCAAGGAAAACTTTAGATTACTGTGAGACCTATATTACTAAAAAATCCAATATGAGGAATGACCGAAGAGAGTTGGCTGAGCTAACCATGCAGTATTTATCCCCTTCTGCACATTTCAAATTAAAGAAAACTGGAGCTGTTCATCATGCTAGGTTTTTAGGCAAGAGTTTATACTACCTTAAACTTCAGCTTTTGTGCAAGCAACTGACATTTGTGCAAGAAAATGATAATCTACGCAAAGATTTAAAACTCATCTGCGAGTTCATAGTAGGTTTTTACACAAGGTGGTACCTTCAAGCACATAAAGCAATTCAATCTCCTGCGTCTGATCTTGATGCAATCTTTCAGATGAAAGAGTATAAGAAAGTTTGCTCCAATGCGGAGGCAGTAGACGCAGTGTTAGCATCTCTTTATAAGCATACATGGTATCTTGATTCAACGATTATTCCCTTGGCTCTTTTGGATAAAAATATTTCTATGGATAAAAAAACAGCCATTGCAGAAGCTTTGCTTTCCTTCCAAATGCCAGATCCAGATTTTTTTAAACATAGAAGCAAAGATCGAATAGACGAGATTAATATCATAAATAATATGAAGGTACCAACCCTCTCTCTTTTGGTTAATGAGTTTTCATATTTAATTTTTTCAATGATAGGGTTGGATAATCAGAGAGTGAGAGACTGGTTGTCACTTCCAACCAATATTGGCACACCCAGTCCTCGTTTAAGAATTTTGAAAACTTTGCCAAAATGTTAATTGTTGTCAATGATTATTCTGAACGAGCAATCGGAATGATGCAGAAGTTTGTACAAAGATTCGAAAATGAGGATGACAAGCAGAACAGACTTTTAACTGTCGACAAAGTAAGGTCAACTTTCCACGTTTTTGGTGTGGGAAAAAGTAATAATACAAAAAAAAAACATCAGAAAGCCTGATGTCACTCTCTAAATTAAAGAAAAGGAAATTGTAGGCTTAGGAAATTGTTATTCATTTTAAAATACTTATTTCAATTAATGCATAATTTTTGTCTTGATAGTATTTGTAAGGATTTTAATTAAATGGTAAATTACTTATTTAGTTCAAAATAGTTTGTTTTTTTGGTTGATTTAAGCGGGAATTTTTACGTCTGTCCATCTGAATGAACTTTAAGTATGAAAATACATAATTTACTGATTTCATAACCACTTGCGTAAATTAAACTTTTCATTTTTTGATTTCTTAAATATTGTTTTAACCAAGAATATGTAAAAAACATGATGACATACCCTTTTAAAATGAAAATATAGATATCAAATAACAAAAAAAAAAAAAAAATGGAAATAATTTTTTCATTTAAATCCCCCTCAAACACCCTGAACACACCCTATTTTTCCTTTTTTGAAGTACAATTTCTTAACAACTTTAGTCTTGAGGGGGACTTAAAAGTCACCCGATTGACCTAAAAAAAATTTTGACAAAGTTTTAGCCTATTTGCTCCAACTTTAGCTGGGTATGTACTTCAATTTCAAAAATTCCCTAAAAATGACTACCCCTAATATATATATATATATATATATATATATATATATATATATATATATATATATATATATATATATATATATATATATATATATATATATATATATATATATGTATATATATATATATATATATATATATGTATATATATATATATATATATATGTATATATACATATATGTATATATACATATATGTGTATATATATATATATATATATATATATATATATATATATATATATATATATATATATATATATATATACATACATGAAAAATGAAACTAATAAAATGTTAGAGTTAACCTATGTTACTAACATAGATTAAGTTTAACATTCCATCTCTAATTTATGAGATTAATTTTATTATCTCTCCCAAGGATAAGGCAAACTATTTGCAAAGAACTTTAGTCTTGAGGGGGACTTAAAAGTCACCCGATTGACCTAAAAAAAATTTTGACAAAGTTTTAGCCTATTTGCTCCAACTTTAGCTGGGTATGTACTTCAATTTCAAAAATTCCCTAAAAATGACTACCCCTAATATATATATATATATATATATATATATATATATATATATATATATATATATATATATATATATATATATATATATATATATATATATATATATATATATATATATATATATGTATATATATATATATATATATATATATATATATATATATATATATATATGTATATATACATATATGTATATATACATATATGTGTATATATATATATATATATATATATATATACATACATGAAAAATGAAACTAATAAAATGTTAGAGTTAACCTATGTTACTAACATAGATTAAGTTTAACATTCCATCTCTAATTTATGAGATTAATTTTATTATCTCTCCCAAGGATAAGGCAAACTATTTGCAAAGAACTTTTCTAATTTGACTCTTAAGTTTAATAGCTTTACTACTCCTGTCATTCCAGTTATTTTCTTAGAACTATTAACTCTTGTTCTATCAACCAAGCTTATTCTTGCTTGACTTATTTTCATCAAAGTTGTTTCCTTTTACTGTATCTGTCCTTGCATGCTCTAAAATATTTTGTCTACTTCTTTTCGTGCTTTTCAATCCTTTGGAACTCTCTCCCACCTTTATGTTTTCCTGACTTGTATAACCTACAACTTTTTAAGTCTTTTGTCAACTGTTTCCTTGCTCTTTATCTGTTCTTTATTTTTTAGTAACTCTTAACTTAATACTAGTTGTTTGCAGCCTTGTTGGGAGTAAATTAGATATTTTTTAATTATTTGTGTCCAAATGTTTCAAAAGAATATTCCATCTGTTTGTGTGTTTCGCATGCACAGAGTAATTGCTCCTGCTTTATCAAGAATACTCCTTTGATATTGTAACTTAAACCTTTGAAATGTTTTAATGTTTTACATTATTTAGAGAAAAATAGAAGATGCATCACTGGCTGTACAAGGCATCTCTAAACTAAACATTGAACTCAACCATAAAGAACAAGAGCTGGTTAATAAACAAAATAAAAGTACTAATTTTTAAGTTGGTTACTTATACATTAAATTATCAATGATAAGTTTTATAATGTATAATATAAATTTTTTAAGAGTTTTTTTATATAGTTTAAAATATATTATAGATTAAAATTTTGTAAAATCAATTAAAGTAAATAACTTTTTTGTAAAGAATTTTGTGTGTATTGGCATAAATTATTTTAAATTTATGCCAATACACAATAAATTTTTTTAAAAACTAGATTATAGCTCAAAATTTTCATTATTCTAAATGTATTGTATTATATCACTATATATTATTGTACATATATGTTATATATGTTACTGTATATGTACTGTACTATATAAAAAGAAACTTTTAATAACTAAGTTATTCAAAGTTTTTAAGACAATATAAATGTTGCAAACTAGTGTTTAACATATTATGTTGCAAACTTGTAGATTACATTGTTGTAAATTTGTGTACTCTATGAGGACAGGGCCTCTAGACTGGAAAGTCTAATGCATTTTATCATTACTCACTTTACTTAGCAACTGCCCACTTCCTGACTGTGTACTAAGTACTTAGTTTTAGGAGTATTCAATCTAGAAAATCAACAAAATTATAAAAATCAAACAAATATCAATAATATTTATTAAAGTTTTAAAAACTTTGTTTACTTATTACAGTTACTATGGTACCAGTTGTTCTATACTGTAATTACAAAGTTACTAACAGTCAGATTGTCTAGACGTGAAAAAAAACTTTATATGAATAGTATAGTTCAATGCGCTTAGTTACTGTTTACGATTGTTGGTTGTTCTTCCACTTAGTTTAATTGACAATAATTGATGTCAAGTTAAATTGTTTTAACAAATTTCAACTTTTGATTTGGTATAGCAAAAATCACTTAATATATTTGATTTAAAATTATTTTTTTAAAGTTTTTTTTCTTTTTTAACTTTTGTTATTGTATCACTTGGTAATATATTTTATTAAAATTTATTCAAAACATTGTATATTAAATTTTATATAAAGGCATGTAGCTGGCTAGATATGGTAACTATGTTGCTGGCCATGGGCTATGTAGTAGCTATGCAATAGCTATATAGTAGTTTATGTAGTAGCATACTGTATAGTAGCTATGTAGTGGACGGGTAGCTCATTGGTTATGTAGTATTTATGTATTGGCTATTTAGTAGATATGTAAGCCATATAGTAGCTGATTACATTGTAGTTGTGTTCTAAAAAGAATAAAAAATAATTAAAACTAATTAAAAAATATTTGTATACTTATTCTCGCCCACTAGGTGTAAGTTCTATATTTATCTATTTTACATAAGACAATCCCCTAGTTACCCTGTCATGGACACTCTGTTGCATGGGAGCATGTAACCATCAGTTGCTATCTTAGGTTATCAATATATATCTTTGGGCTTTAATCAAAGAAATATTTTAGTTTTTTAAATGATTTTGTTGTAATGCTAATATGGTTGTCATTTTTCCAAAAATGTTTTCAGAAGTTTGTATAATTCATGTTCATAAATATACCTTAGACTAAAAACAAGTAGACTTAATAAGAGTAATCAGTTTTATGAGAGAATAAGTTTTTGTTACTTAATATTTGACTTAAACTCATTGTATTGAATTTTTCACAAGATTGAGTTAAATTTTTATATCAGCTTTAGTTCGTAAGCTATAACATTTTTGAAAAGTTCTTCAATTCCTAAGCTAATCACAGTCACAATTAAAAATGAAGGGTGGGGTGAGGGATAATAGTAATGAAGCAAACTGGTTTTACTCTAAATCTTTTAGTTTTATGTAAATAGTTTTCGGATATCTTAAATATCATCATTTTTTAACTTGTTGATCCGAAAAGTTGTTTTTTATGAACAAAGAGTTAAAGTAGCTGATAGTCTGAGTGTTGCATAAAAGTAATAAATAAAATACTGAATGTTGCATATTAGTAATAAATTATTGAATACTTTAAGTTAACTACTATATCTTTAGTTAAGTTTTTGTTTTTTATTTTATTTATTTGTTTATTAGGTTTTTGTTTTTTACTTTATTTATTTACTTTTATGTTTTAAACTGAATCTAAGTGAATTATTATAAAGTATTTATAAATAATCAAGTACTTATAATGCCATTTGATATTCTCTTTTTGTTTAAATAATAAACTCTTTAAATTTTTTTTAACTTGCAGGGTTTTATAATAATGTTTTAATATTAATGAGATATAAAATATATAATATTTAAGATAATAGATAATATATAAGTTATTTTAAATACTTTCTCTTATAATTTGTAATAGTAAAAGTTATAATTTAAAACAAGTTTTTAAAAGTAGTTTTTATTATTATTATATATTATTTTTTTTTAGTAAATGAGTTGACTCTAGCACTTGAACAGCGCAACTCTCAATATAAAAGCATTCAGGTTGCTTCAGATGGAAAAATTGATAAGTAAGCATACCATTTTATAAACAGTTGTTTTTTGTTTTTTTTCTACTGGATACATATTATTTATATTATTATTACATTAATTATAGAATTATTTTACTCATTTTTTCTCATTTGATAGGTTTCTTATAGCAAACTTACTGCTTCGCTACTTTCAGTCACCCAATGATAAACGATCTGATATTTTGCAGGTAGTAGGAGGTTTGCTCGGATGGACCCATCATGATATAAAGCAGGTTACAAGCAGTGTTATTATTTCATATTTCTTGTTACTGGATAAACTTAGTAAGCAGCTTGGATTGATATTTGACCAGGGCTGGCTTTGATAAAACATAGCTTGGCCAGGGCTGGGTTTATGGCTGGGGATAAAATAAAACTTATTTATATATATATATATATATATATATATATATATATATATATATATATATATATATATATATATATATATATATATATATATATTGATTGTTTATGTATTATATTGTATTATAAAAATGCAAAAACTCTTGAACGTAAAACAGTACTCAATATTACAATAATAGAGTAATAAATATTTAAATTTTGTTTAAATTAAAAACAACAATAATAGTACTTACAGTTTCATGCCATACATGGCAATCATCAGCTATTAAATGCATAAAAAAACCATTAAAAAAACTATTTGAAAAAACAATATCTTTTACTAATAAATTGAAAATTACGGTAGAAAGACTTCTGATGTATTAAAAGATGTAACTATTTAGTCAGTAACAAAAAGGGCAGTAGAAATTTGTTGGAATGTCAACACTTAGATAATATTTTGTCTTATTTATTAAGTAGGTTGTTTTCTTTGTGGTAAAAAATTATAAATTTCTCATGAAGGTAGAGATTACAAATTTGGGATGTTGTTTTGATTTATATTGTTTTATAATTTTCTTTTAAGTTCCGAATTTCTTTAGAAAGCTCTGTATCATTTCTGTATTTCACGGCATTAAAAGATTTAAAATGACTTTGAAATGAAAATAGAAAATAATAAATCGCTGTAAACCTATCAAAGCAACATCCATAGTTTCTAACCTCTGCCTTCATGAGAAATTTATAATTTTATATCACAAAGAAAACAAAAGACAAAATATTATATAAGTGTTTAATAGCTGATTTTTATGTATTTAATAGCTCAGTGAAAATCAGCCTTTAAAATTAGAAAATAACTATTTTAGTCACTGATAAAAACAAAAAATTTTAGTGTAAACAGGCTTTAAAAATTGTCAACCAAGTAAATTTTGATTTGTCGAAAAGGAGCTTTTAGTTTATTTCTCACCAAAGTATAAAACTTGTATCAGCGTATATCCTATTTAGATATTATAAAACAGCTGTTAGAAAATGCGCATTTGACCGCAAGCCACACTAGAATTAAATAGTTTTATGCTTTGATTACCACCATTCCCTCGTTTATTAGATCTGTTAGATCTGGACAAAAATTCCCATCCCCCTTTATATTCCCACCCACCCCCTTGACTCAAGAGTATGGACTTGTTTGCAGACAAAATACTAAGATACTATTTTCAACAATTAAATCAAAAAATTTAGATAGATAGTAGAAAAGTGGAGACTAAAGAAAGTAAAAACAAAGAAACAGAAGAAAAGACAAGACTTTATTTTTGAACAAACAACTTTGTACCAAACAGTTAACTTTTAAAACTTCTTAGAAGTGCATACAAAGTTGAATTATGATAATCCTGACAAAGTTATATGAGAACAACATATATTGTCTTTTTGATGCCTTAAAACCATATAAAGCAGTTGCTGACAACCTTTCCTAACATTTATAAACCATCTTTTAAAAAATTTAATGTACCATCCGAAAAAAATATTCAGACAAAGCTTATTCCAAACATTAACAAAAAATGTAGTAAAATTATTACTAAATGCTTCATCATATGCTATCAGCACTGATATTTGGACTTGCCGTAGTAATGACTCTTAAAGGGAAAAAAAAATTTAAACAAAAATAATTGCAATACTGGGTGTGTTACATTTATAGCATCTCATTCTGGGTGGAATATTTAAAAGCTTTTAAAAAACATCTGTAAAGATTAAGGTATAATTAATCTTCACATTGTTATTAGAGATAATGCAAGTAATATAAAAGGTTGCTTGTAGCAACTAAAAGGTTGTTGGTAGCAACTGATTAGGTAGTTATATGGTAGCAAAAATTGTCCACATTATCCAAATATTGAAGAAAATAAACTACTGGCAGCACCTACATTATTTGGTCATATATAAAAAACTGCTGGTTTTCAAAATAAATTTTGTTCTGAAAGAGCAACTGAAAGGCTGCTAATAGCAACAGAAAGGTTGTTGGTAGCAACTGAAAGATTGTTGTGCCATATGATTAGTCAGCTTAGCCATGATAAAACTGATTTTCAAGAAGAATCTACAAATTCAATCTGAGTTTAAATTTTCAAAATTAATTGAAAACAAGCTCATGTATACAGATTTTACGAAAAAACGAATGCTTACGGGGACATTAGCATTATCGGGGACATTTTAGTGTACCCTTTAATTTTTTGTCCCCGTAAGCATGTATATTTTTATTTGTGTTATTCCTATTTTTATTAGTTTTCATAAAAGATAATGGCTTCAACAAAATAAACAAAAGCTAAAAAAATCGTAGCACCTTATTTGTAAAAACTCCATATTTAGCCAAGGACCCAGTCTCTTACTTAATGAAATCATTTTGCACTATTAACTTTTTTAATGAGTTATGAAAACGGTTTTTAGATTGGTGATGGATCTGCTCCAAATAAAGGTTGGATACCGAGTGTATGGGGCTTCTCAACTCCAAAGAAAGCATCAGTTTCAAAAAATCAGTTTAATAATATGAATCAGGTTAAATTTTCAATTCATTTTTTAGAGCTAGTGAGACTCATTTCTAGTGCTTAACCAGGCTAATAGACAATAACAACTTGATGTAAAAAAAAAATCCAACCACTATATACCAATATCTGACACTTATTTTCGCATTACATACATAAATACATACATAAACACACATACGCACACATATATATATTATTATTATTATTATTTTGTAGTCGTTTTCGGAGTTGTTTGTAAAGTTTCTTGAAACAGAGACTGATGACAAACCAAAAATGAATGCTGCTTCTCTTCTGAATGGTAATCTTGTAGGACCTAATGTAGTCATGCTTTCTCCTACTCCAGATATTTTAACATTTCACAACAACCACAATGAAACTAGGTAATTTTTTTTTAGGCTTTTTTCAAATTGTCTATATAAATGTTTATTGTATATAGTATATTGTATATGTTATGTATATAAATGTTTATTGTATTGTTATAAATGTTTATCAAAATGTCTATATAAATGTTTATTGATCTACGAGGAAAAAGCTGTTAAATATATTTTTGTGTAGTAATGGACAGCGGTAGACAAAAGTTTTCAAACGCCTCAGGAAAACTGTTGGATTTTTCCCCCATGTTTTATAAGCATGCGGGAAAAAAATCCCATTTATATTCAAGGCTGTTTACCAAGCATGTTTTATGCCAAATAAGGGCAGTTTGTCATTAACAAAGTTTATCCAACAGTTTCAAATACGCTTAGTAAACGGTTTACAAATTTTTTTAAAAGACTATTAAAGTTAAAATATTTTTTTATTCAGTCAACAAACAAGAATTCCTGCTCCTGGTCAAGAAATACCGCGAGTTCACACCCATCACGCTCAAAATGCTCTCAAGACTATTCTGTCCTAAATTGTAATATATTTTTATATTTATTTATAATAAATGTGAATTTTTTTTTTTATATAAATATATTTATATAATTTTATAATTATGTTCATTCAGTAAAAATAAATGTAAAATGTAAACTGAAATTTTATCAATGAACTTGTCTTTTTTTTGATTGGTTACTTTATAAACTTTATTTTGAAGAAAAAATTTATGTGGAAGAAAAGAAGCACAAACTAATGCCTTGATGTATCAATTGGAGGTTAGATGGAGCCAAAATTTGCAGTTTTGTAGGTTTATATAAATTAAATTCTTCAGCTAAAATAGTTCATTTTTTAAAATTCTAAAATAGTTAAACTTAAGTCTATCGTGATGACTGATAATATAAATGCCTAAAAAAAATAATAATAATTTTGGCTTTCAAACTGAACTAAACTTAAAAATATGTTACAAAAAGACAACTGTGAATGTATAAAAATAAAGATTAAATTAAGTGACATGAAGTATCGATCTCAAAAAAAAAAAACGAAGGCAAAAGCTGGACTGAAAGTGAACAAAAATTTAAAAAATTTTTAAAGAGCATTTAGATATAGCGAAGATATAAAGAACTTATAGAACTGGTCAGAGAGAGTGGCGGATTAAAACTTCTTGGGGCCCGGGGCTATTTTTGTTTTTGGAGGCATTTTTATGGGCCAAAGCCTAAAAATAACTTAAAAAAAAAAAGCCATTTAAAATTTGGGGGGCCCCTAAATTTGCGGGGCTCGGCTACCCCCTCTCCTCCCTTCACCTTGATACGGTACTGGTCAGAGAGACAATAAAACTCAGAATTGGTTAGATAGACAATAGAGTTCATATAACTGGTCAGAGAGACAGCCAAACCAAGAACTATAGTAAGAAAACCTTTAAACTTTAGAGATAAAGTAGAAATCTTAAAAAAAGCTATTCCCTTGACATAAACAAACGTTTGTATGGATGAAGATTATGTGCCAAAACAGTCCAAATTGAATAAACTCTGAGAGAACTGATAAAATCTTGCTCGTTCAATAGATTGACGAGCAGCCGGTAAATATGCGTACATCTATGATAAGTTGATCGTTTGGGACTAGACTTCTAATAAAAGTCAAAAATTATCTTTGTTATTCATATATTTTTATAGCTAGCTGTAAAAATTTATTTTATTTTTAACATTGTATCGTGGTTATTTTGAATTTTACTTTTTGAAACGGACAACAATTTCTCATTTAGTTTAAATTCAGAGAATGTTAGTGATTAATAACTACTTAAAGTTACTTGGATTATCTTAAAATAATTATTGCATTAACTCAATCACGATTTTAAAAAAATTTGTCTCACAGAAACTTGGCTTAGAACCACCAAAATTATTCAAAATTTGAATTAAGTAATTACTTATCAATTCACCGACTGTGTCTTAACTGCGCCGGTGATGGTGGAAACTTTATTTTGCGTAATGACCTCAATATTAATGAAACAGATTGTGAGTCATTGTGCATTAAAACAATTAACTAAACCATCAAAAATATTGTTGTTAATTGTATTTATAGACAAGAAGCTGGAAATTTAAGAAAACTTAAAACATAATATATAATATTTAAAAATTTTTAAACTAGAGAAATTGTATGTTTATTTAAAAAAAAAAAAATCAAGTTTTATGAGAGATAGAGAACGAAAGATAACCGCGTACGTTCTTGCTGTATTTAACACCCCTCCTCCGCTCTACGCAATCAAAAAAAACTCCTTATATTATTTTAGAACTCGGTTGACAAAAAAAAATGATGATTGGAACCTTATTTTACAATCTCAAGAAGGAAATGCTGCCAATGAACAATTTTTAGCTTAATTCTATAAACAGTATGACAGATCATTTCCTGTTTATAAAATAATTATAAAATCTAAATATCTTTTAAACCCCCTGGATGATTAGGAATGTACTTAAGTCATCAAATAAAAAATAAAAACTTTATGAAAAATATTTCATATTTAAACACAAACAAATAAATTTGAAAAAAAAACTTCAAAACAATAAAAAATCATTTGAAAAAGCAAAAAACATTGCATATAACTTTATTAAGCAAAATTACTGGAAAAAACCAATGACAAACTCAAAAAACGTAAAATGTCATTTAACAAATAATCGGTAAAAACAAAAGTGCAAAATATATTATGCCTCAAAAACTTTTAACTGATAGGAAAATGATTTATAATAAAAACATTTTAGCTGAAAAACTCTATTCATTTTTTTGATAAACTTAATATGCACTGAGTTCAGCTCTTCGTGTTTAAATAATCCATAGGCTTTCTCCTATCACAAATACCTTGCTCAATTTTCAACAAATAATTTTGTTTTTCCAAGAACTAGTTTAAGGGTAAGTTCTTATCGCATCCAATATCTTGGACTATTTTTATGGAAGCAGTTTTCTAAATTTACTACTAAAAATATTACTACTCAGAAGATCTCTTTGGAACATTTCAGGAACAAATCAAAAGAACAAATCAAAGAGTCTCTTGAAGCAAAAGAACAAATCAAAGAGTCTCTTGAAGCAAAAGAACAATTCAAAGAGTCTCTTGTAGCAAAAGAACAAATCAAAGAGTCTCTTGAAGCAAAAGAACAAATCAAAGAGTCTCTTGTAGCAAAAGAACAAATCAAAGAGTCTCTTGAAGCAAAAGAACAATTCAAAGAGTCTCTTGAAGCAAAAGAACAAATCAAAGAGTCTCTTGAAGCAAAAGAACAAATCAAAGAGTCTCTTGAAGCAAAAGAACAATTCAAAGAGTCTCTTGAAGCAAAAGAACAAATCAAAGAGTCTCTTGAAGCAAAAGAACAAATCAAAGAGTCTCTTGTAGCAAAAGAACAAATCAAAGAGTCTCTTGTAGCAAAAGAACAAATCAAAGAGTCTCTTGAAGCAAAAGAACAATTCAAAGAGTCTCTTGTAGCAAAAGAACAAATCAAAGAGTCTCTTGAAGCAAAAGAACAAATCAAAGAGTCTCTTGAAGCAAAAGAACAAATCAAAGAGTCTCTTGAAGCAAAAAGACTTTAACTTTTTAAAAATATCTTTTTAAAAATAAATGCATTTACAACAAAATTGCTAAAATAGTTCCTTTTGCTATTATACATTCTCTATAAATGCTTTTTTTTTTATTTTCTTTCATTATTTTATTTTTTGTTGTTGTTGAAAAATCATGTGAAACTTAATGATTTTTCAACAACATGTTCTTACTTCAATTAACAATAGGCTATCTGATTAGCTAAATCAGAGTTCTTTTAATAAAATTAATTTAAACTCTTTTAGTGTTTAAAAAGGGCGGCTATAAAAATTCGAGTTAAATGTTGAAGGAAAAAAACGCAAAAGAAAAATAGAATTTAGTTCAACCCCCTCTCCCCATGTTGAGCAGAAATTTTACAACAAATAGAAAAAAATCTACAAAAATAAGTTAAACAAAAATTTTTCTTTTTCTAAAAGTGAAAAAAAATATATAAAAAAAAATGAAAGTTATATATGCAAAAATAAAATTGAAAAAAAAACAGATCACAATGATGTGTTAATAAAGATGATTCGTGTATTTAAAAAATGAATGCTGTGTTTGCAAGAAGAAAAAAATTAAAAAAGTATCAACTTGGTTAAAAAAAATCAGAACTGATTTCTAAATACAGACTTAAAATAAGTAACTATTAAATAATATATATATATATATATACATATTTAGTATATAATTACTTAATAGTATAAAAATATATACATTTACCAACACCTAATTTTCATGTAAATGTTATTTCATACAATATTAATAATCAATTTAGATTTTTTTCAACAACTCTATTTGTAATTTTGCCAAAATTCTGATGAAATTAAATAAATATACAAAATATTCGATAGAAATTCAAGAATTAAAAATACGAAATTCTTTTTAAAAAAATAAGGCAAAGGTAAACTTATTATACTCATTTCAATTTCAAGCAAAAAACATATTAATCTTGCAGAATAATAATTCCGAAAAATTCGGAAATCTACTCAAATAAATTTCACTTGTTAATCTTACTAGATACTAATTAATTGATATATTTGTGATGATTTATCTTTAAATGTATTAATTATTAAATCCTTGTATATGTTTTTATATATTTCTAAACCTTTGAATATTTAAATTTTAAAATAGTTTATCAGTAGTTTATTGTATTAGTTATATATTTTTAATGGATTTTTATAAATTTTTTGACAACATTTTATCATACTAAGAAGCTCTATGAAAAGACTGATGTGGTATTGCGTCACCCATATCTCATTTGAATTTTTAAAATTTCATTTTTTAATTGATATTTACTATGTGAAGCTCATCAGTATATATAATTTGTTTATAAACAGCAAAATATATACTGTTAAAAATAAAATTAAAAATAATTATACTAAAATTATTTATATTCTAAAAGATTCATTCACAATAAAACTTGATACCAGTAGGTGTTAAGAGCTTAGGATAAATAGAAAAAATAGTCAAGTGTGTCTCATCAATATTCTAAATATTGGCAGCTTCTAAACGTAATGTCGCAAAATACGAGTTAATTTCCATTATTGGTAAAGTTAACTGAAAAGAAAAAAACCTTTTTCAATTTCATAAATACTTCTTAACATAATATTCTATTTTTGAAAATGAGCTATGAGAAATCATCAAACAAGAAAATGAACACTGTTGCATCAAAAATGTTTTATTTTTAATATTTTCATTTTATTTTTGTCTAAAATGTTTTATAAATACTTTAATAAGATTAAAAAAAAAAAAAGATCTTGTATAAAATGCTTAAATAATAAACTCTAAATTGCAAAAAAAATGTCTTAAGCAAAATCTTTAAAATGCATGGTTGCCGTTGTTGTTATTGTTGTTGTTGTTGTTGTTGTTGTTGTAGTTGTTGTTGTTGTTGTTGTTGTTGTTGTTGATGTCGTTGTTGTTGTTGTTGTTGTTGTTGTTGTTGATGTTGTTGTTGTTGTTGTTGACAATCAAGAAGCTCATTAGATTGTTTTTTTTTAACTTTCTAGATGAACATTTCATACTTCGTAGTGTTGCAAATGTGTGCTGAAGTTTGATTCAGTTACTTACTAGTAATAAATCCCTAGTGATCTGTTATGATAAGCAATAAATTGAATTACATGGAAAAAATGGCATTTGTTTTCAGGGTGATGGCTGTGGTTGAGAGTTTTAAGAAAGAAAATTTTTATGAAATTTCATGAAAAAGATTTTATCAATCTTTGAATAATAGTTATGTGCAAAAACATTTCCGCAGCAAAATTACTGCACCAAATTTTCGGAGTATTTTAATAAATTAAAAAGCCAAAAAGCAAACATGCATTTCGGCTTACTGTTGAAATAATTCAACGGTTGGACAATTGTCGAACAAATTCAACACTTGTCAAAAGCTTTCTGCAATCATTTCCTGCTAACGGACCACAATAAAAATATTTTTGCTTATCAGTCAATGAATTCGTATTTTTTAATGCATCATCCTATGCAAGATAACATCAGCCTATGCAAGATAACAAGCTAGTATTTTTATATTTTTTAATGCTTCCATTATATAAGCCACTACCATAATTTTTTGTTTTACTATGAAAACATTTTGAACAGCAAGATTTGAACGAACTATTATAAAAGAAACTCTACCCATCATGCATAGCGGCTTTGTGCAATTATTTGAATTCGAAAGGTTTTGTGCCAAATTTTCTCTTCCACAAGTTTTATTGCAACCCTTAATTTTGCTTCATCATGAACATCTCTTTTATTTTTATCATTGCTTTATAACATCTGTACATAACAAATTCTTATAATTTAAAATTGTTTCTAAGCGTGCCGCAAGGCTCTGTTATTGGACCTTTGATGTTTATCTTGTATTAATGATCTACCAATGAAATTAGTGAATAAATGCAAATTGTTGGAAAATGATGCTAAAATTTTATTCAAGGTAATTTCAGTGAAAGTTTCCTCAAATCAACAAAAAAACTGAATTTCATTATTCCAACGAACAAGTGACAATCTTTTAAATTTGTAGTAATGCACAAAAAGATGCTTGCAACATTTTTTTAAACAAGAAAACGAATCCTTTTAATATCAATGGCATAAAATATGGTAAAAGTGGAAAGTTTGAAAAAATTGTTTGCAAAATTAGACTGTCTTTAAATCACTTTATGTGTCTTTTACTCGTGCTTTTTTCTAGAGTTTTCAATGCCAATATCTGAAAAAGTGATTGTAAAGTAATTGAACGAGTGCAGTGTTGAGCCATCGAGTGCAGTGTTGAACAATCATATTGGTTAAATTAATTTGGTATTTGAGTTTAATTAAATTAGATCATCTTCAGTATCATCTTCAGTATTTATCTTCTAAGCAGAGTTCGACTGCAGGACAAACAAAAATTAATCAAATCGATTGTGGCAGTATGCTTAAAGGTATGTTCTCTAGGTAAGTCAGTTGCAGCATCAAATGCTAATGCATGAATAAATATTACATTATTGTTATTGTTATTATTATTAATGTTATTTTTATTATTTTTATTATTAAACAAATATTAATCATAATTTTAAATAGCAAAAAAAGAGTCTACATTAATTGACTTAATTGTCTAAAATTCAACGACTTTCTAAGGAGTGTTAAAATCTCAACGAAAGATAATTACCCAAACATTTGAATTTTTGACAAAGTTTTAGTCTGATAGTTTTGAAAGTGATTGTTAAAGGTTTTTAAGCTACATATGAGTGAATGTGCATGATTAAAACACTACATCTTGGCAGCTATAAGCTTTACTCTCTCTTTTTTTCAATAAATCACCTTTCTTTTACCGAAATAGCGCTAAAACTCACGTACAGCAATTTCAAATTCCAAAAAATATTTCTGGGGGTCACATCCTAGAATTTCTAAGCTACATATGAGTGTAGGGGTCTCTATACCCACATGGCATAAAAGCCCTCCATCAAGATAAATCAAGCCCTAAACTAAAAAAGCTAAAATTAATTTTTTAATGAAAGTTGCATAATACATTTATTTATTTTTTTTTGACATTTTCGTCATTAAGTTTTGTTTTTATAAAAGGTTGCCAAAACTAGTTAAAGCTAAAAGTCAGGGCCGACGAAATTGATGGGGAGGAGAAGAGGGAGGGGACAGGGAACTGATCCCCCTGGCCCCCATTTTTTATCTAAAGCCTTGAGATAAAAAATGGGGGGCCAGTCCTTTAGTAAAGGACTTTTTATTTATTTACTTATTTTTTCAGAAATTTCTAGATATAGAACGCTTTTTTTAGAAATTGATGATTGCACCCTGCCACTGCAAAACATGCATCACCGGCCCCAAGAGTTACCGATCAAAACATCGTTTTAATCTAAAATTGCATCAAAATAAATTTCTCCTGACAAAATTTTTTTTTTTTTGCAACTATTCATATGCGATTTTCGCAACTATTCATATATGATATGAATATATAAAAAGTATGAATGGAGAACAGGCATTTCTTTTTTAAATTTAAATGCAAACACTACTTTTATTTAATTATTATTTTATGTACAAAGTTTTAAATCTCCAAAATTTTATTTTAAAATTTTAAACATTTTCGCAGATTTATATGCTTTTAAAATATACATTAAATATGCTCTTTATACACATATATATGTGTTTAATATATACTTTAAAAAATATACTCCTTAGATGCATATATATATATATATATATATATATATATATATATATATATATATATATATATATATATATATACATATATATATATATTTATACAGGAACAAAAGTTTTATTGGGGGGGGGGGGCGGAGCAATACTACCCCGAAATAGTTTTAAAGACCTTTCTTTTTCTTTTTTTTTGTAGTCATTTTTCAGTCAACTTCTTGAAAATGATTTATCTAAAGAATTATTAGTACAATTGCCCTTGCTACCTACCCACCCGGTTGCTACGGGCCTGATATATATATATATATATATATATATATATATATATATATATATATATATATATATATATGTATATATATATATATATATATATATATATATATATATATATATATATATATATATATATATATATATATACATATATACATTATATTGAAACAGGTATTACGACAGGTCTACCTTTAAGTGAAACAGGTATTACGACAGGTCTATCTTTAAGTGTACAAACGTGTTAGCTTATTTATCCTAATTAAATCAGTCCATGTGTGCACAGTTTACTGGGCCAATCCATCTATAAAACAGTTGATATATGTAAAATTTTAGTAAAATAGAAACTGCGACTGATATATATTACTTATATACTGCACGTATACAAATTTTTTGTTTAAGAATATTGTTAACACTTTATATGCTATCTAAACTTCAGACAAATTATATATTACAATCGAAGTTTTAACTGTTTATAGCGAAGTTTTATATGTTTATTGATTTTTTAGTAAATATTTGATCTTTTTATCTTCCTTTTTATGGTTGCAATTAAGATTATCAAATATTAGTATTAGTAGTTTTCCGCTGAGTTTTTAACATTCTAACGCAAATATTGTTTAATCTACGGCTCATAAAATAAATAAAACTGGATTGCTTTATAATGAGATTAGGAAACTGACAGTTATTACTTCGAGTTACAAATATAATAATCATGTTTAATAAAACGTCAAAGATGAAGAGTGATGATTTCCAGGGCGTGAATTTCACTCGATTAATTTTGAAAGTTTACTTGTTCTAATCAAATACGTAAATAGGTTTCCTTATTTACGTAAATCTTGAATACACTTGCAGTTTTACAGAGAAAGGGCGCTCGTATTCCCAAACTTATTCAAGTTATATATTCATATAAATATGAACGACGACAGCAAATCTACGAAACCGTTTAAACAAAGAAAAAGCTTTGGTAGGTTATTTACATTTGGCTATTTTACTTGCATGATTGTTGTTAAAGATAAATAGAGCACTGATTACTGTCTAAATTTCATAAAACTGATTTGATGTTTTACCCTTGGTGTGTATTTTTAATACTTAAATCGACTGAATCGAAAAGCTCTTGAATACCCATGCCAAAGATCAGTACTACTAAAGATAATGAGTTTTGCATCAAGGCTTGATTCTAGCATATCGCAGACTATTAGAATCACTAGTGATTCAGAAGATTTTCTAACAAAAAATTGTAGTATTTTTTTTTTTACTACAAGAAGAGTTTTATACCTAGCCTTATAAAAGAATTAGTTCTACATTAATGATTATTGCTTTTCCTTTTAATCAATGGTTTTAGTTGTTATAACTGGCTATTAAATTTTTATTAGTCTACAACTTATCTGTTGAATTGCATAAAAACAGATCTGAAAATCTAAGTATTACTAATATTACTCTAGTTTGGTGTTAAAATTTTGAAATTTGTTATTTAGTCGCAATTAAATTTTTATTCAGTCATGATAAGGTTTTTTTAAAGCTGTGAAAAAAAATTTTAATAGCATGACTTAATTACCAATAAAAGAATAGCAATTTTAAACATTGATGATTTCAAAATCCACTATTTATTGATCCTTGACCCTAATTCTATGTATATTTATTGATGCATATCCTATTTATCAGTCAATGTATAAACTTTTGTATATGCCTATATAATTTCTCTATATAATTAGTAAATAATATTCATTATAGTAGTACCAATGAAATACATATTTATAAATTACATAATTAATTTAAAGTTTTAAATTAGTTTAAAAGAAAAAAATCTGCAAAGGCAAAAAAAAAAAATAGTTTTAAAGAAAAAAATCTGTAAAGGCAAAACTTATATAATTAAAGTTTACTTTAAGTTTAATTTTAAATTGCATTTGAATATTTTTTTATTTTAATTTGTTTTTTTTTTTAATTTTTTTAATAACTACATAGTTTACTATAATAAAAAAATATTGTTTAATTATAATCAAAATATTTGAATATATAACTTGACTACATAACTTATAATAAACAATATGTTTTTTTTTTTAGGATAAATGAATGTACATATATTGATTGATTTATAGGGATGCATATACCTAAATTTAAATAAACATAAATGCGTCAATGTAAAATTAGGTAGTTATAAATAATTTTACATTGAGTAAGATGGTGTAATTTCGCCACTAATTCTTTCAATTTAAATAACTTGAGAACTAAAAATAATTTTTTTTTTTTTTATTGTTCATAATATTTTTATAAAGTTTACACACTTTAATTTTTTTTTCATTTTTTAAAATAATTAGAACAGAAAAAATGGGGTGGTGAAATTACTCCAATAAAATCTAATTTGGGGGAATTTTGCCACCTATGTTATTTACAACATAAATTTTTTATGTTAAATTATAAATCTTAAAAACACATTTACAATCAGTAAAATGAAAGAAATCTAACAATATTCAATAAGTGGGGGCATGGCCATCCATGCTGAGAGGTATTGGAGCATATCCCTCCTCCACCTTTTTTACCTATTTTTTTTCTTTTTTTTTTTTAGAAATATAGAATATTTTAGGAGATGTGTTAATTTATCAGCCCCAGCTATCCTTTCTGGATATTAAATTCTTTCTTCTAGTGTCTTTCCAGTTATACAGTATAATTCTGCAGCTCGCTTGCAACTCAGTTCATTGGGTTGTCTGTCACCATTAGCTCTTCGCTAAAGTTGGTGACAGATATTCTCTTGTAGTTTCATGGTATTGTTGCTGATAATTGATAGATTTAATTAATTTGAGTTGAATATAAGACCAACATGACCTGAGAAATTAATTATCGAAACAAGAGAAAGGGAAATAATATTAATTATCCAATCAAAGGATTTTAAATTTAATATAAGTAGGTGGCGAGATTCCCCCATTTAGTATTTCTGTAATAAATTTGGAACCGATCAAAATTAGAAAGAAAAAAACAATACAGAGATTCTTTAAAAAGTTTCCAATATTTTAGTCTTTTAAATTTTAAATGGAAATAAATAATTTGATTTTTATGAGAATTTTAAATCTCCTATTTTTTTATAGATTGTTTTATTCAATTAATTTTCTTATTAAGTTTTCCCAAAAATAAAGATTTTTTTTTTTATATAATTTGATAAGAAATTTGTTTTTCTTTAAATAGAAATTTGAATTATAAAAAAATTTTATTTTTGAATAAAGATAAATTATAAAAGTAGAAGATATACACCAATTGGTGGTGAAATTTCTAAAGTGGCGAAATTACCCCATTTTACTCTATAGTTAGGATCAGTGTCAAAGGTTTAAAAGGTTTATAATCATCTGTTTTTTTATTTGCGATAAAAACCAGGCTGTTTATATTGTTTATAAGTTTATTTAAAATAAAATTTAATCACAACCAAGTGTTAAAATGATGTTAAGCACATTTTGTGTATTTGTGCAATATCTTTGTAGAATAAACTTAATCAATAAAGTTAAAATTTTTATGCATTAAACATCAATTAACAAAAAAATTGACAATTAATATTAAGATTAATAGTATTAAGAATACTTTCCTTTAGCTTTTATACTAATTTTTTTTATACAAAATTTATACACATAAAATTCTCAACCATATTCAACCACAAAAAAGGTAGTGCTCTTGTTTGTTATTAAGTTGTAAAAAATAACTTTAAACCTTAAATAAATATAGCTTTTTTGAACTAAACAAATTGATTTTCATAGCTTAACCCTAAAAAAATAAAAAAGGAAAAATAATTTAATAATAGTTTTTGTCCCTAACTTTGATTCCAGATATGAATCAAAACTTAAAATACTAATTTGGTGAGCCCTAATGTATAACATGCTGAAATCAGTGCTTGATAAAGGTAGAGGCTAAAGGGGACTATAGCCCTAGGTCCTGCAGTTTTAAGGGCGCCGATTCAAAAAATAAAAGATATTTTTAAGAAACACTGAAATTAAAATCTTTGATTAATGACATGGAAAAGGGCCTCCTGCTTTAAAATAGCCCTGGGACCTGAAAAGTTTTAATCCACCACTGGCTAAAATAACTATAAAGGGGGTAGTGGTGCAGGGTGACCTGTATAACCATATCAATCTAAATTTATGTTTACATTAGTGATGTGCTATCGGCAAAGGCCGATTGAGGCTTTTTGTATATAAAGGTAATATCTTAATATTAGGTATGCAATTTGCATATATTAGGTGTGCCTATGCACCAGTTTGGTGTATCAATGCACCAGTTTGGTGCATCAATGCACCAGCATCAGCCAATGACGATGAATCAATTAATGCCATCGGCCTATTAATTAGCCAATGGTTAAGTTGATTAATTGGTTGCTGATTACCAATAGCATAGGGTAGTAGTTCGAATCACTTCTAATGAATAGGGACATGTTAAATATGTAATATAAATCCTTAAGATTATTATAATACCCTTAAATAAATACATTAAACCTATTAATAGCCACAATTGGCATCGGCCATTGGTACATCACTAGTTTACATATGTCAATCCAAGTTTACAGTATTACAAATATATATAATTAACCCAAGTTACTATAAAAAACTATTGAATTTTTTTTTTCTTATTGTAAATCTTATTGCGTAAATGTGTAAAAAGTTTATAAAATTGATCTAAATTTCTACATCTAAATAGCTATATAAATCTTTAATTTAAAAATATGTATACATATATATATATATATATATATATATATATATATATATATATATATATATATATATATATATATATATATATATATATATATATATATTTATATATATTTGTTTTTATTTGTGGTTTTGAAATTAATGAATTTATATTTTTAAACAGCAAGTCGAAGGGATGAAGTAGCAGGAATTAGAGCAAAATTTCCTTCAAAAATTCCAGTAAGTTTACTATTAAAGATACTATTTATGTTTGTTAATTGTTTTTAAAACCTTCCTCTCTTAACCCAATAAGTCAGAAAGCTTTTAAAATCTATTTTAGGTGATTGTCGAGCGTTATCACAAAGAAAAAGCCCTACCGATGCTTGATAAAACTAAGTTTCTTGTGCCACAAGAATTAACCATGAGTCAATTTGTCACAATTATTAGGTAATTTAATATTAGTAAAAGAATACATATTAGATCTTATATTTTTTAAATACTGTTATTGGTTTATTTGTAATTATTAACATATATTTATTTTAATTAATTATATATATATTTTGTAATTATTAATATATATTTAATTTGAGAATATTTTTGAATTTTTTTTTTTCTTTCTAAACCATATCAAACTTGAACTCAAAAAAATTAGAAAAAAATCCATGTTTTAAAAATAGTAATTTTATTAAATACATATTTTTTTTTAAAAAGTATTTAGAAAAATATTCTTAAAACCCCTGTTTTGTTAAAAAGGGTAGTTTTTTGTATATTTTTAATTTTAAAAAATGACTATTTTTTAATCCTTTATTTAAAAAAAAATATATATTATTTTCAAAATTAGCATACTATTCTGCTTCTTTTGAAAAAATTTCAACAATATTAGGACCCATCAAGAATTTAGAATCTAAAGAGAAATCAAAAAATTTTAAAATCACTCCATCCTAATGCTGAATGCATTAGGATGGAGTGATTTTAAAGATTTACAGATTTTGTATATACATATAAATTATTTTACAGATTTTGTATATACATATAAATTTGAAATAAAGTAACATTTTTAAAAAATGAATGTTGCTTTCTTATTAAAAGTTAGTATTGTGTTTATTTGTTTAAGAAAGGATTATTAAGATATTATTTATTTTTTAAATTTCCCGCTTTCTGGGATAAAAAAAATGAAGGGAATTGATACCCCTAATTTTTTGCACTAATATTTTTGCACATTTCTGCTATTTTTGATAAATATTTTAGACAATTATCTTTTACACTTCCAATGAAGTGGAAGAATTTTGTTCGAATGAACATTCATTGAATTAGTGTTGGAAGTTATTGGAAGAGAAAAGATGAAAATTGTAGAGCAAGATAACGGTTGACAGATGACTTAAAAAATTGCAAATTATATGAATCAGGAAAGCAAAATGAAGGAAGCGAATTTCAAAGAACTGGTGTTCAAGGAAAAAAACTAGAGAAATAAGAGTTTTTGGAGCACTTAGGAACAGTCACATAAAAAGTATGAGACTTAATTGAATGACGAGTAACTCGAGAATGAATTTTAATAGATGGCACAAGAGGCGCTTTAGCAGAAGTGAGATCCTTTTCAAGCTCAAATGTCCCCTCCAAGCAACCAGAGAGAGTTGGCTTATCATGACAAGAATAAATGGTAGTATCATCAGCGAATAATGCCACCTTAGATGCGAGAATATCTGGAAGATTCTTAATGTAAATTAAAAAAGGTGTAGGGTCAAGGATTGAAAGTTGATTAGTCAGAAATGCTATCCTTTATTGTATTCCCAAACAAATACTGTAGGTTTGAAGTTACTTGGTTGGTGTCATTTAAGTCATCTTGTTTTCTATAGCCAGAATTGCGGCTGTTGTTTTAAAGACATTTGTCATTGTTTGAGCCCTCTGACTGTTGTTGGACTGGTTCTATTGATGGATTTACATCTTGTAGTGGGGCGAGATCTTTTGTTGAAACCGTATCAATTTTTTCATTTTGAAGTTTGACAGGCAAAGTGAGGCAATAGGGTTTCTAATAGTTGAACTCTGTTGACAAGTGGATCTCCTTTTAATCGCATCTGAGGTCTGTATAAAATTGTCGAATCTTGCTCTGTTAAGTAGTTTGGTAGAACTGTACCTACTATTGATGAACGCTGAAAGTTCATCTTTCTCTGGTGGGGTGTTTCGTTAGTAGCAGTACAGAGAAGTCCTCTTATAGAGGATAGAACCATTTGCAATTCTACCCCCTATCTATCTTTTCCCAGACTCAATGTTTTCAGGGCCAGGCTAACAGCTTTAAGTATTGTTCCATTCATTTATTCACATTGGCTGTTGCCTTGTGGGTGATATGGAGTAGTTCGAGTTCTGATGACACTTGAGTCAGATGATTTCGTAAGAACACAAACATATAAATATACTTTCTTCATTTTGGTTAGGATAAATTAAATTAGGTAGCCTAACATTTGAACTAAAATCGAGGTCTGCTTCCAACAAATATCAGCTCAATAACAGCTATAACAGCATCAAATTCATCCAAGTTATCTAAAATCTGCACCCAAAAAAATAATTTTTGCACTCTTAATTTGATCATATCAAAAAGTTTAGGTTATTTTATGAAATCAATAGATAATGGCCTGATAGATAACGTTTCCAGACTAGTTAAATACTATGACATACTTTTTTTAAAATAAGGACTATGGGCTCCAACTTTGTATATCTGATCTTCTGTAGAATACAAGAATGTGCAATTATATTTTTGTTGTTGATATTTTACACCTAAAAAAAGTAATTAAAATCTGTTTCTACTTAATAAGCAAAGCAACATTAAAATGGTTTTTTTAATAAATAAATGCTTTTTTTAGTAAATTATTTAATTTAGTTGCAGCTTTAAACAGCAAAGATTTTTTAAGCTCTGATCTACTAATTTTTTTTTACAACTTTTTATTTATATGTACATTATACAACTCAAGTAGCTATGCTAAACACAAGTCAATTACAAATCAAATAGCTATGCTAAACACAATCAGAAGAGCTTATTTTAAGAGTTTAGCACACTGTGCTATTTTATCATATAAAATGATTTTATTTAGCTCACTGTGCTATCTTATCATATAAAATGATTTTGTGCTATCTTATCATATAAAATAATAGTGTAATTCTACATAACAAGATTTTTAAGAGCCCGCGTTAAAATTAAAGCCAGAGTTTCTAAATCTATTATCATTCTTATATTTTAGATTATTGCTCTTGGTATCTATATGTAAACATTAAAACATCCAACAAAGAATTTTTTATTTTAAAATTTTTTTAAATATTTTATCCTAGTATACATTAAATGATCCTTAAAAAAAATGTACATTTAACAATCCTTTAAAAAAAAAGTACTTTAAATAATCCTTAGAAACAATATTAAAGTAAATTTCATTTGAAATAATTGAAATTTGCATGTACAATAAAATTAAAGTCTACTAACGTTTTTTTTCTACATGCTTCTGTTTCGCTTAAGCATATATGTGTTGAACCTTTTTATTGTGTTTAACCATTTTTCTATAAGTATTGTTTAATTGCTGTTAACCAGAGCATGTGAGAGCTATATGGTAGGTTTGATCATGAGTAAATTAAACTGCTTGCAATAATAGTGCGTCTTGTATAGGCACTGATACGCAAAATAGTTTTAGTGCCTACTTATTTTATGGCGTGTATCAAGCGCCTATCCTATTCTAGAAATAAAGTGCAATTTTAGATTTTAAAAGAACCTTTGATCAGGTATTTTGCATTGCTCTTTTATTTGTTTTTTATGGGTTCTAAGATGCATCAAAAGCAAAAAAAAAAATTTTAAGAACTATGTGACATGCAACAAATGAGTGTCTCAATGCATGAGTTTTAAAGCGAGTTTATCTCGAGATTACAGCAGATTGATTCTTTAGTAGGATCTGCATGGCGCAAAGGTTTTTAGTAGGATCTGCATGGCACAAAGGGTTTGAATAGTGAAATGGGACTTAGCTAAACTAGTGGTTTCTTGCACATCGAATAAGTTTCTATTTTATGTTTTTATGTTAAAATTAAGAATCTTTAAAATTCGTAGAATCTCATTGATTCTTATTTAATTTATTCTTATTAACAGGAACCGAATGTCTCTGGCTCCTACCCAATCCTTCTATTTGATAGTTAACAATAAAAGTTTAGCTAGCATGTCTACAACTTTACAGGAGGTTTACAAAGATGAGAAAGACGAAGATGGATTTCTTTACATGACTTATGCATCTCAAGAAATGTTTGGTTTTTAAATCTTTTTTTTTTTTTTTCTTTAATTTTTTTGCTCTTACAAAAATTAAAATTCATACTATCAACATGTTGTTCAACAGCTGTTTACACGCCAGCATGCCATTAGAGGCGTTAGTGGCGTTAGATCAATCAATTGACTGTAGTAATAAAATTTGATAATTTATTTGTTGTCTTTATTTGTCTTTATATATTTGGATTTGTTTTATAGTTTTTTTTTAAGGAATTTTTTTTTTAAATTTGTAATGCATTTCCACGTTTGATATCATTTTTTGAACTTGAAATTTTATTTGGTTTGTGTGAGATTATTGCTTTACCTGGTTTAACATTAGCTTTTTTAAATTTAAAAGTAAAACATTTCTTTAATAGAAATATCTTTTTCATGTGAGCATTTTTCATATATATTTTTTATTAAAATGACGACTGTATTAACCATTAAAAAAAAAAAAGTGGAATGATTTTAATAAGTGTTTTTTTATTTTGTAGTCTAAAAAAGCACCGACATAAAAAACCTCCCCTTCCGAAGTGCGCAATTGCAACGTAATTTCCGCATTTATCTTTGTATTTATATATTTCCGCATTAACGCGTAGAATTCGTAAACTTTTTTTTTAAGCGTGTTATTACTATTCCTTTCATAATAACTTTAAGATTTAAGATTAATTAGTATTGCATACGTATCTACAAAGTTTTCAGCATAATCTTTCTTAAGTCAAATTGCGGCATAATACTGCTAGAGAGAACTCGATCTTTTATGAAACCGTCTCTAGCTTCAAAGGTGTAGACTGCACGCGAAGCTTCCGTAACAAGTTTCACATAGCGTTTAACACTTTGTGTGTTATTAGGATATTTAACAGAAAATGACATTTCTCTGAACTTTCCAATTTCTTCATTTGAAAGGTATAGTGACGGGTGGCTCAGATACATTAACCCAATCAGTAAGTTCCATCCGGCATTTGCATCGTAGTTAATAGCAGCAACTGAGAATTGATTCCATTATCTTTTTTTCTATGCTAAAGGATTATGTAAATTGCTCTGGAGCGTTTGCCTTCATCTAAATCCGCTAACATTGCAAGGAACAGGTTTTCACAATAAGCAGATTCTGTAGGTTAATTTTTAATAAAACGGTGTAAAATAACACCTTTTTAAATTTACTACACCATTTCAAAAAAATGTAAAAAAGATGTAAAAATCGAGTATTGTATAGTTTTTCTTCTTTTACGCCTTTTAATTAAACGGCGTAAAACAGCTTTACACCGTTTTTAATAAAAGGTGTAAAAGAAAAAACATCACATCATTCGATTATTACACCTTTTTAAAACGGTGTAGCGATTTTAAAAAAGGTATCATTTTACACCTTTTTATTAAAAATTAACCTTCAGAATCAATGCAACAAAGATATTTTTATTGTTTTTAATACCGAGAGACTTAACTGGTTTATTCCATTGTACTACGACATGAATATTATTTAGATCATAGTTTCATCTGAAATAAATTTGGCTGATCGACTTTCACAAATCCATCAAAAATGGCGCAAAATAATATCTGAAGCTGGGTTACTTAAAAAAAAGACATATGGAAATTAAAACTTTGTTTGCAAAATAACCAGAAGGCATCACGTAGGAAAGTCTCAGCAGCAATAGCGAATTATAACCAGTGCAACTCCATTGACCCGCAAAATAGATACATGGTCGGCAGACGTGTAAACAGTATTCCCCCTAAATTTAATACACGTTTTATCAAAAATGTAATTTTACTGACCTAGTAAAATTAATTAATTAAATTAATTAGAGTGTAATTGCATCAAATGACTATGAGTGATGAATGCAGTTCAATATATAGGTATTGACTGGCCATTAGGGATTGGCACAGCGATATGTACATTAATTGATTGACGGTAAGGGCTGGGGTGGGAATAGTTATGGTTATTAGTATTTAATTGGGGTGCGTCGTTTGCACGCCCGCTGCATGGTAAATTAAGCGTAAAACAGAATTGAAATCTGGTTGCTATTGACGTAACGCGTGTAAGAGCAGAACTGCACTCATCAATGATTGACTGTGGTCCGTCACTGTATACGATACGACGTAAACTGGTAACCAAAACAGCTACTAAATTTGTCGGAAAGCTTGAAGAAATATTCTTTTTTTTTTGGACTGTCAGTTTGTCCCGCTCACATTGTTCAATTGTTCGAGCAGCCTGTACAACAAAACAATATCATCCAACTACACTAAAAGTCCATCTCAGCAATTCAAGAGAAAACCAAAAGAGGGTGACAACCTTCTTTAAGGTTAAAAATCCTCTTTAAGGTTTAAACCCTCTTAATTTACCATGTGGCGTGAAATTTGTCTACGTCAAATTTCACACCTGTCTCGCCGTACTACAAACTTTCAGAACTCAAATGAACCATTCAACGATGCTTTTATAGACCGAAAGATAAAACTGACAACGCTTGAGGAAAATATTAACAATAATGTCGTTCAAGCTCAAAATAATTTTCAAGAACATAACAAACTGCAAGTAATGCGGTCCGGACGAACAGTAAGGACCCAAAATTTTGACTTGTGAGTTAATTCACCAAGACGGCATTCAATTGTAAAGTTGATAAGTTGTAGTTATACGTGTTAAAGATTACTTAGATAATTTGTTGAAAGTCACACTTTATTTTAGGATAAGTATTTAACGATTGTTTAAGGACGATTTTGATTTAAAGTATTGTCATGAGACTTTTTAACTTTGTCCATATAGATAAGATTTTTTGTAAGATAGCTGAATGAAAAAGGAAACTCTCAAATAGTTGATTTGTTAATTTAGGCGTATGGACGAGATGAAGCAAAATTTCATGTTCTTTTAAAAAGAACATGAAATTTTGCTTCATCTCGAATATTTTGAATATCTTGAATATTTTTCAATTCAGGTAGGAATTTTCAAATTCCGACCTGAACCACCTGGTTTAGCTTGGAATTTGAAAAACTAGACACTGGTTGAACTGTCCTCAGTTAAGACAAAACTTTTGGTTTGATCAACACTGTATAATATTAAAAAAAAAAAATTTTTAATTTATTTAAAATTGCAACAATCATAAAAACTTGACAATAGAAAAAATGACAATAGGACTAAATCAATATAAAAATGGACATAAAATTTACTTAAAAAAAAATTTTTTTTTAAGGTGGTACCCCAAGAAATAAAGAGACGTAAACAGTTAAAAAGTATTTAAAAAAAGGATACTTAAACAAAGCTAAGAAAACTGAAAAAATATCGTATGAATCTGGAGGTTTTTATTTGAATATATTTATTCCAGAAATAGTATATATTTTTTTGCTTTTTGAGTAATTTTAATTTTTATATCACAAAATCTCAAAATATACTTTTTCACTAGTTTTCAAAGTTTGCGAAATGATAACTTTTTAAATAATCATGCAAAAGTTCTGAAATTTTCACAGATTGTTCTTCATATTATTAAAATTCATTTGAAAAAAGATTTTTTTTCAATGCATTTTAGATCTTGAAATTTTGTTATATTAAGGTTGTTTAGCTCGCTTACTTTTTAGTGTTTCATACATAATTTCTAAAATATTCATTTGTTTTCATTTTTTTTCTCTCAAATGAATTATGTTACCATGATTAAAAAATGTTCCAAATTTTATGCTAAAATGACTTTTAAATTTTGAGTAATTATTTCACAAAATTTCGGTTATTTTCAATTTTTTTAGAGTAATCGAAGCAAAAAATTTCAAGTTTGATAGCATTTTTGAAAATTATTTTAAATTATGTATTAATGTTGTAAAAATAAAAGTGTGTTCTAGTTCCAATCAGATTTTAATATATTTCTTGGGATACCACCATTTACACTATAAATGTTTTTTAAAGAGGAATTTTTTTAGTTTGGATTTTATTGCCAACCCTGACTTGATTGCTGGATGTTCAACAATACTACTCAGCATTGTTGTATATCCGGCAAAACTTGTTATTTGGAGCAAAAATATTATTAGCTGAATTATTTAAACCCTCTGAACTAGATAGGCTCAGAGCTAATACCATGTTTTGTTTTAATATTTCTAAAATTTTAAGTCTAACACAACAAATTGAAAAGTAAATACATGTAGCATCTCCTGCGCGTAAAAAGTGATACTAATCCACATCACATTTCACACTTGAAAATCATGTAGCACGTAAAATAGATGTAGCATCTGCTGCACGTAAAGTTTATATAGCACGTAAAATAGATGTAGCATCTGCTGCACGTAAAGTCACTAGATCAACAGCGCTTTTCGTATAACTTAAAATATACATATAGAAAAATTAATCTAATACATAACCTACAAGAAAATGTATATTAAAAGGAAAATGTACATTAACACATTTGAAGAAAATGTTTGTAAAAACATTTTAGAAACGCATTTTCAGGTCTTTTCGAATTTACTTTTACACGGCGGCAGATCCAGCATTCTTTGTTCTTTTAAAGCCAACTTCTAGACATGGAGGAAACTTTAATTATAAACATTATACTTATGTCAAATAATGATGCTTCGCAAAAAATTGCGATGATTGAAGCCTGGGAACAAAAAATCCCTAAAATTTTTAACCATCTGCCCCAAACGTGAGAGTAACAAGTGGATTAAATTTATTTTGTACTTTACTTAACTAGATTTATATTCATCGATAAATTTTAAATTTCATAGTAAAATATTTTAGCGTTCAAAAAATATGACCATATAAAGTTTAAACCCCCCTCAATTTGAGGGAGCTACAAATAAATTTAGAATTATTGCAATGAGGAAAACTTTTTTATTTTACCATTTGTTAAAAATTACAAACGTATTTTAGATGTCTGTTATAAGATTATTATATATAGGTTATTATATTATATTATAGATGTCTATTATAAGATTATGTAGTTTTTTATCTTCAAGATTGAAAGTGAAAGCCTGGACCTCAGCATCGTAGCTACATGATGTATATTTATTACCTATAATATATATATATATATATATATATATATATATATATATATATATATATATATATATATATATATATATATATATATATATATATATATATATATATATATATATATATATATATATATATATTACTGCATTAGGCATCATATACTTTTTAACTATTTCAAACAAACACTTCAAGATATTTTAACTATTTAAGATTAACATTAAAAATAAAACTATTATCAGAGGCAGTAACATTTTTGATGAAAAAAGAGCTTGTTTGCTGCTCAAAACTGGATAACAACTTTTTTTGCACCACAATATTCCTAAACTTTTAGGAATCTTTACATCAGTGATTACTGCAAATAAAATTAGGCAAAGTTACAGATATGCGGTCTAAAATAATTTTTTTTTAACGCTAGTTGCCTTTTCGTGTGGAGACTTGCTCAAAGTGGTGTCTTTTTAATATAAGCATAGAATATTTATTGGCTTTAGTGCATACATCGACTATCTTAT